GAGAAGCTGTGGCTGCCCCTGGATCCCTGGAAATATTCCAAGCCAGGTTGGATGGGACTTGTAGCAACCTGGTGTGGTGGAAGGTGTCCCTGCCCATGGCAGGGGTTGGAACGAGATGACCTTTAAGGCCCCTTCCAACCCAAACCATTCCATGATTTTATGATTCCACCCTTGTTCTTGCATCTTTGGGCACTGGAGTAGAGCAGGGTAGGATTATTCCTTTGTGCCACTTGCAAGGTGAGGTGTCTGAACGTGGTGTGGAAAGACTGATGCCCAGTTTTGATACCCCAAAAGTAAGGCCAGAACTGAGCAGCAAGGTGGGGTGGGAATTGCATTAAAATCCATTAAAATGACCTGTTCATGTTCCAGCATGAGAATCTCCTGCTGAAGACCCTAAACTTACAAACCTTGCACTGTTCAACATTGCTTAGTCCCCTCACTTTTTTTTAACTTTCCAATTATGAACAGACTTGTTTATAGGACATAGTGCTACATGGAATTAAAATACAGTTGGAGAATTTCTTTAGAAGTTTTTGAATTCCTGAGGTAAAAACATTCAGTTCAGTTGTTCTGAATTTCATGCAGGAGGGAAACTTTGAAAGGTTTTGCAGAAAATTGATAATTTTAATAAGCAGCCCAGCAAAAAGCAGGACTTGCTGGAGGCTCAACAGACACAGTGGTTCAGAAATTGGTTCCTGATGAACTACCACCACAGCCACTTTTTTAGTAAATAGATGTGCATAAAATATCAAGACATTAAATGCCTTCACTAGATGCAGTGTTGGAAGTGGAAAGGGACTGAGTTGTGATCACTTGGAGATAAGACATCTGGGGTTTTGCATCATTTAAATGATAAGAACATTGCCTTGATGGAGCTTTCTTGCGCTTCATGATGATTCTTGTAACCACAAGTTGGTTACTTTGGGATTTAATTATATAATACGAGCTTTTGGCTACAGTACTTTGTGTTTTAATGGAAGGGGGTGATACAGCTGATGCTTCCAGTTAATTTATCGCTCCAGTGCTCTGTGTTTGCACTGAGATCCAAGTGTGTGTTTGTTACCTGGATATATATGTATGTCATTGGTATCCATAAGGGGAAGTGTGATTTATTTCTAATTGGCATTGGTGTTTTCTGGGCAGATTATGAAGCAATTGTGAAGCTCTCAGATGGCTTCAACGGAGCAGACTTGAGAAATGTCTGTACTGAAGCAGGTAATTCCTAAACTCTTCATTTCTCTGTGCTAAATCTTGGTTAATGCTGAATCTTGGAGCTGTTTCTCTGTGGATTAAAACCAGGAGCTCAAAAACCTTCTGCTGGAACGTTTCACTCGGGCTGGTCTCTAACTATGTGTTGGATAAATATCATGGTGTGTGTCACACTGTCTCAGTAGATACGTTCCAGAAACAGTGATTGCACCCATTCCTCTCCTTTTTGCAGAGGATCCAAGGTTACTGGAAAGTTGATGCTGTTTTAAGCTTTTTCTACATTAAAACTTGTGCACAGGGTTTGCCTGCGTGGACAGGCTGAGTACCCCAGTGAATGCTCACAGTTTAAACAAGCTTTCTTCTTAGTAATCCCCTAATTCAGAAAGGTGACCCCACTGAAATTCTCTCCTCTTCCCAACATCCAAGACAGTGTAATTTGGATTAATTTTCACTTGGGTTTTTGAGTGAATCTTTATGTTCTGTAGCTGATCTTGGCTGTTAAATTCTCCTCCTCTCAGGTATGTTTGCGATCCGTGCCGATCATGACTTCGTAGTTCAGGAAGACTTCATGAAAGCTGTCAGGAAAGTGGCTGATTCCAAGAAACTGGAGTCCAAGCTTGACTACAAACCTGTGTAAATTAACCATAGAATTTGTGATTGATTGCACACGTCCTCCTGGGTTAATGTATAAAGAGAGAGAAATAATGTACCTCTTGATTATCATTGTAAGGTGTTTGTGTAGCATGTAGCTAGTAATTTTGGGAATGCTAGTTGCAAGTTGGCTACAGGAGTGTGTTTTCTGTACAATTCCGACATACATTATTCATTACAGCCCAGGCTCAGTAAAATGTGTGGAGATGTGTTCTCTTAGCAATTATGGTGGGAATTTATAAACGTGCCTGAAGGGATTCGCAGACATAAGAAAGTCAGTTCATTTCTTGACTTTTTGTATATCAGTAAATCTCCTTTCCCCAAACAGTTTATGAATAAAACCTGTTTAAATCTGCTTATGCTGGTGGATGTTTTCTGTAGCTCTCGTGGAGAGGTGAATTATGTGTGTTCGGAATTTAAAGAGCAGCTTTTCTCTTGTGTTGGGATTGGAGTCCTGTGCCTTCCATACCAAACAGAGGCAGCCTTTCCCTCGGAGAGAGGAGGGACAAGTGGGGTTGAGATTCACAGAGTCATTGAAGTTGGAAAAACCCTCTGAGACCATCGAGTCCAACCATTCCCCCAGCACTGCCAAGGCCACCACTGACCCACGTCCCCAGGTGCCACATCCACAGGGCTTTGAAATCCCTCCAGGGATGGGGACTCCACCACTGCCCTGGGCAGCTGTGCCAGGGCTGGATATCCAATCTAAACATAATCCCCTGGCACAGCTTGAGGCCCTTTCCTCTCTTCCTGTCCCTTGTTCCCTGGGAGCAGAGCCCGACACCCCCCCGGCTCCCCCCTCCTGTCAGGGAGTTGTGGAGAGTGAGAAGGTTCCCCCCGAGCCTCTTTTTCTCCAGGCTGAGCCCCCCCAGCTCCCTCAGCTGCTCCTGGTGCTCCAGACCCTTCTCCAACTCTGTTTTCTTCCCTGGAAATGCTCCAACCCCTCAATGTCTTGTCTGAGGGGCCCAGAACTGCCCCCAGGATTGGAGGAGGTGCCTCAGCAGTGCCAGCACAGGGGAGGCTGCCCTGCTCCTATGGCCACACTATTCCTGGTACAACCCAGGTGCCACTGGCCTTGGCCACCTGGGCACGCTCGTGTGCTGCTGAATTCTGGGAAGAGGATTTACCTGAGCTAGTGTTTAATTACTGCAAGAAGTAAACAGGGTGCTGAGGTTTTTAAGGACATCTGTCACTGTGCCATATTTTTGTTTTCCAAGCCCTGAGGGGTGCACACAGATCAACTGCACTGCACAGCTCACCTGAGTGTTGGACTGGAACAGTAGTGCACTAAACTGCACTTCTGGCTACTTCTCATTATCCTAATTGGATTACTCTGGGCATGCTCAGCTGACAGACAAGTACATTAGATTAACTCTGGACTTCCCAGGAAACACACTTCTTAACAGCATCTCTGGCATTTTTAGTAGCTGTATTTTATTTCCTTTCCCATCACTGAGACTAAACAGGTAGTGTGAGGTGTAGAACAGTTACAACAGGACAGGCAACAGTATTTCCCTGTTTATTTGGCTAATGGTTGTTACAAACCTTTATTTCTGGGTAGCAACTTCCTATTGTTGGCCGTGTCAGGAGCGTAAAGATGCAAATCTCAGTTTTAGTTTTGCCATAACACCCTTTTGAGTGCAGCTCCTACAGCCAGAGTGCTTGGAACAATGAGAAAATGAAATAAAAGTCCACTTCTGAGCACTGCAGTGATGGAAACAGCAAGGTGAGCCTCTGGCATTACCTTGGAGGAGGAAAAACTCTTTCCTGGAGCTCTGGGAGTGGTTGTAGCTCATTTTTGAAGTTGGGGCCACAACGTAAGGTTACAAACACACATCCCTGATCCTTCTCTTGGCACCAGCTGGAAGTGGGAGCTGCAGTTTTCCCATTGCTTCCTCCTCCGTTTCCTTCTTCATCTTTCACTGGAAGGAAATTGCAGTGCTGAAGGAACGTTTGATGAAATGTGATTGTTGAAGATTTCTCAAGGTTTCGTGTAGTAAAAGCAGAAGAGTTTCAGTTTTTATTTCTGGTGTGCCCGAAATTCCAGTGCAAGGATTTTCGAAAGGGCGCTTCCAGTTTTATTTAGGCAAGCAACCCATTGACTTTGCTTGCTTGACTAAGCTTCCCTTAGAAATTCCAGTGATACCAGTACAGGTTTTTGGTTCAATAAAGAATGCAGGAATGGAAAACTGTAGCCTAAAGTGAAGTCTCGTTGGGTTGGAAGGAGCCTTAAAGTTCATCTCATTCCAACCTCCTGCCATGGGCAGGGACACCTTCTCCTAGACCACATTGCTCCAAGCCCCATCCAACCTGGATGGGAACAGTTCCAGGGATCCAGGGGCAGCCACAGCTTCTCTGGGCAACCTGTGCCAGGGCCTCCTCATCCTCCCAGACAGGAATTCCTTCCCAGTATCCCATCTCACCCTGCCCTCTGGCAGTGGGAAGCCATTCCCCCTTGTCCTGTCCCTCCATGCCCTTATCCCAAGTCCCTCTCCAGCTCTCTTGGAGCCCTTTTAGACATTGGAAGGGGCTCTGAGGTCTCCCTGGAGCCTTCTCCCGGCTGAATTTCTTCCACGTATTTAGATTCCAAGCAAAGCATGGGACCGGGGAACCCCCAAAAGCAGAAAAGCAGGTTCCTGCCCCAGCACCGATGTATCTGCAGGCATCACCAGCAAACAGGACCTGATTGTGGGTGACCCCCTTTGCACTGCCAGCTAAAATCTGAGGCAGCAGCGTCATCCCGATGGGGGACAGGGCGGGTGCCCCCTCGCCAGAATGGAAGCGGGCGCGTGAGGAGAACGATCCCACGGGAATGCCGGGCCACGGCGACCAGGGAGCGCTAATGGCCGCGACGTGTGGGGAGCCGGACCCTCACGGCCGTTAACGGGCCGAGCGCCCCTCGCCGACATTTTGGGGTCAATGAACGCGAACCCGGGGGCCGCGAGGGGGTTAACGAAAGGAACCGGGGCGGCGCCCGCCCGTGAGGGGAGGGCAGAGCGCTGAGGGCGGAGCGGGGCGCGGGCGCCGCTGGAGCGGGGCCCGGGGGCGGGCGGACGGGAGGGGGAGGAGGAGGAGGAGGAGGAGGAGGAGGAAGAGGTGGGAAGGGGAGGAGGAGGAGGAGGAGGAGGAGGGAAGAAGAGGCGGCAGCAGCAGCAGCAGCATGGCGGCCGGGCGCGAGCGGCTGAGCGCGCCGCCGCCGCCGCCTCCTCCGCCGCCGCCTCCATCTCCTGCCGCTCCCGAGCCGGAGCCCGCGGTCCCGCTGCCCAAATAACCGCCCTGCCCCGGGTCCTGCCCCGGGTCCTGCCCCGCCCGGACAGCGCCCGGCCATGGAGCTCGCCAAGCCGGCCTTCCCCGCGCTGCCGCAGGCCAAAGAGGACTCTGAGGTGAGCGGGAGCTCCGCTGCCGGCCCCCCACCCCGCCCGCCCCGAGCGCTCCATCCCCCGCCGGGGGTTCCCCTCACAGCCCTGCCCGCCCTGCGGTGCCTCCCGCACCCCTTCCCGCGGGATTCCCGCTGGGATCCATCGCAGGCCTCGCGGGTCCGTGTCCCTCGCTGTGCTGGTGACACCCCCCGGGAGCACCGAGCGCATCCTCCCTCCCTCGTCCCTGCTGTGCTCTGCTCCCCCTGTTCCTCTCTCAGACCGCCCTCCCGGGTGCCTCCGGCCTTTCCCCGCCTGGAAACCTCCCACTATCCCAGGCCGCTCCAAGCCCCGTCCAGCCTGGCCTTGGACATTTCCAGGCATCCAGGGGCAGCCACAGCCTCTGTGGGCACCCTCACAGGCAGGGAGCGGAGCCCCCCTGGTTCATCTCCCTTGGCTTTTGCCCTTCCGTAGCGGCCCCTCCTCGTTTTTATATCCCCTCCTCTGTGTCCGGTGTGTCCCAGCCTTCCTGCTATCCGCCCTTTGCTTCCCCCTGCGTGTCCCTCTCCCTTTGTATGGGCACCAGCCCTGTCCTCCCTCGCCCCATGTGCAGTGGGTACCTGCGTGTCCCTTCCAAACACTCGGTGCCCGCGGACTCTTTGCTCCTCCAGGAACAATCTGCCGCTCTGGAGAGCCCGCCAGGGAGGTATTTTCGGGGTGTTCCAGCGCCAGGACCTCTGTGTGGACTAGGACAGGTGGTGGTGTGTGCCCGGGCTGAGCTGTGCCCTGTGCGGTGTCACAGCAGCGGGGTCAGCGCGGTGTCTGATTTCTGAACTTGGCCCGAGTCCCCGGCTCTGACCCTGGGCACTGCTGGTGTTTTTGTGTGTCACAAACAGCCCCGAGTGTCCCCCCTTCGGTGGCCTCAGATATTTAATGCAAAATGTCACAGCCTGGCGAGTATCTGAGCTCTTCAGGCGTCTACAGATCGCTGTGTATTTCATAAACATCAGCGTTTATTTCTGTTTTAACAACACTGCTCTATGTTGTGGTAAATTACCCAAATATGTAAGTGACTCTTTTTTGTTCTGTTTTTGTTGTCAAGATCACAAGTTTACAAGTCATCCTGATTGTTTTCACAAAGTTGTAATCACTTTGTGTCTCCACACAAATCACATATGCCACCCTGTGGGGTCTATAATTCGTTTGTTTTAAAATATATTTTATTTTTCTGGAGAAACCAATCACGTTATGCATAGTTATGTCCGAGAATGGTTAACTAAATTAGCCTGGGTGGCTTCTTATCTCGGATGTTTGTATCTAGAATGGCTAAAGAGGAGTGTGTGGTTAAAATAAGAATAAAAACAGAGGTCACTGCCTGTCTAACAACTCTTAACTGATGAAAACTGAGATTATAATACAATGTCCTTCAGAGCATCTTTTGTTTTTTGTTTCTTTTTCGTGCTTTATCTCTCAATAATATGATGTGTGATATATACATATAATACATGTGATAGTGTGTTAGAATTTCACATAGTAGGGAGTTTCAAGGACTGCTTTTAAAAGCTGTAACTCCTTTTCAACATGTTACTTTTGTGTCTGACTAGATCTAAATAGAAGATCATTTAGAGAAATGACAAGATCTAAATACAAGGTAATGTACAGTTGGAATGGGAATGTTTGAGGAAAGGTTAAAGCCGATGGAGAACGTCAAAGTTCTCGTGGAGTTAACTTGTTAAAAGCAAAGTGTGAGAGAGACTTCAGCCTAATCCTTAAGAGAATGCTTTGGAAAAGCAAACTAAAATCATTCTGCCCTCAAAATGTAGCTTTCCATGGAAAGCTGAAGATCATCTGTGCATGGCAGTGAGGAGTAATCATGAGGAGTAATCCCTGCTGTTAGTTCAGGAAGCTGGTGGTGAGTGGCTGAACGCTGGCCTGGCAGATTTGATTTCAAGATATTGGGAAGGGGAGGAGGGAGAACTTGGGGAATCCCTGGTTGACTTCCTGCTGCTCAGGAAGGAGTAAGTGCAACTTTGTCACCTCTTTAAGTCAATCCAGCTGCCACCCCCAGCTCCCTTCTCCCTGCTGGCACTTGTAACCACAGACAGCTTAAATAATAATAATTCAAAAAAAAAAAAGGCCAAATCACTTTGTGATCTGGTTGACTGCACAGCATCCCACTCCTTCCTGGCACATGGGAAAGTGGTGAGGGGTGAGAGTAGCCTGGATTGACTCAGACAGGCTGCAGGGATGTGCTCTGGATAAATAGGTCATTTTTCCAGCCTGGATGTTGTTTGCCCTGTCCCTAATCCATACGTGGTGTTACAGATCGCTGGATGTTTAAGCCACTTGGCTCTTGGTGCTTTTTGGAGATTGAGAAATATCTGAAAACCCCATAACTCATCATTCTTGCCAAGCTTTTCTGGGATATACCAGGAATGTCTGCAAACTGTGTGTTCTTTTACAGGCTGGTGATGGTGAATATGTCGAAGTCTTGTGAGTAATGGTGATCACATGTGGCATGGAAACACTTCTGAGCTTAGATTTTTATATCTTTTTCTAAAATTAGCACATTTTCCAAGATAAGATCTCAAACTTTCTTAAATTTAAAAGTGCTGAGGGTCTTTTTTCTCACCAGTATAACCATGTGTGTCTAAAAACTTGTTAAAAGAAGGTCAGATTAATAGCAATTATTGCATGTTGGCTTATTAGTACTGAGACATCTTAACACTTCTGGAAAGATGATCACTAAGGACTAGAGTAATTCAAGGAATTTAATGGAAATTATTTTCCCATTGAATTTTAAACAAAAAAAAGAACTGGCATACATATAATGGGAACACATCAGCAATTACCATTTTATTTCTTTGCTAAAAAATTAGCATATTTGCTTGCAAGCAGGCTGAGCAAAGTCATATTCTTGATGTATTTAGGATTTTTTTAGGACTCTCCATGGGTTTTTGTAATTAAATTAGCAGCTTGTTGACTAAGCAGCCATATTTCCCTTTTTATTATGCATAAAAACTGAGCTCTCTTTAGCACATGGGGGTTTTTTTAAAGGCACTTACATTTTTGACAGCTATATTTAGTCTGAAATGCTGAGTATTTTTGACTGCTTTTTTTTTAACTAGGATGCAGTCCGCCTAAAAGTGGAACAAATTCATCCAACTTTTTTTTTTTTTACTCTTACTTTTGATAGGAAACACAGATAACCCCCTTAAACACAGCGATTCCCCTCCTCTGCAGACTCTTTAAAACAAGTAGGAAGCTGTATCATTAGAATTATTTTACTTGCCCACGTACTAGAGCCCAAAAAATGGAGGGAAAAAAAAAGGCTGTGTTGTGCTGGGGGGATGTAAATCAGGTGGCAGATTTTGATCACAGCTCTGTGGGATGCTCTCAGACTGCTCCACATGGAGCAAAAAAAAGTGCTCTGAAGTTTGTCAGTCGTGATTAACTCGTGCCTTGGATCCTTGGGAAGTGCTCGGGGATCCACAGTGGAGCAGTTTTGTAGGGCTGGGGAGTTAAAGGATATTTGGAGTTGTTTTATCTAAATGAGGGTTGTAAAGGGACTTATCAGCCTCAGCACAGCCCGACTCACAGTTAAAACAAGGAGGGGCATGAGAAGGACATTCTTGCACCATTATAAACAACCCTGATAGTCTGCATGAGTGTGGCACTCCTGGCCCTTGGCTTTGTGCTTCCTGTAAGCCGAAGAATTCTGGTTTATTGTTTATTTTTAATTTATCTTTGTGCTTTAATAGAAGCCAGTGCTTCTGGTCCTGTGTGCTGATGATATTTAAGGAGCCAGCAGAGGTGTCTTTTGGACCAGTGTTCCAGAATGGGACAAATAAGAATCACTGATGTTTCTACTTTCCATTTCTACTTTTCCTTTAGTTTTACCTTTTATCCTTTTCCATGGCTTGTGTTTCCCTCTGCTAAAATAACCTCTCTTTTCCTGTTGTCCCCTTTTTCCTTCCTCTCTCATTCCCACCTGCTCTTGTTGTCCCTCTCCACCTTCCTGCTTTTGTATTCCTTTGTATTTTCAATAGCAAAAATCTGTAGGATGAGGGCTTCCCATTGTCTGAGCACTCTTGAGAAATACACAGAATTCCCTGTAAAACACTGTCTCAATCCCTGGATCATTTCCTGAGTGTGGTGACCTTTGAATTAAACAGCTATGCAAGGGTTGTAATGTCACCTCACTCTTTATCAAGGTGCTTTAACCAGCCTTTAGCCAGTTTTGGGATAGCAGTGCAGTCCAAGCCTTCCTTAATTTAACCTCCTTAAGCTCTGGTCATGTTAGTGCCATGCCCACACCTTGGGGGAACCAAAAAAATTGGGTTTAATTTTGTATATTTTATACACTTGCACCAGGATTTCTACCTGGAAAAAAAAAATTATATATTTATATATCCCTGCAGTGGTCAAATTGTCGTAGGTTCCTTCCAGCTGAAATTATTCAGCATGTATTAAAAAAATACCTATTTCAGTTCAAAGCTTTTTTTAATGAATGTAACTGTCCAACAACATGAAGCATGATCAAAACTGAAGACACAACCTTTCATTTCACTCTTGTTTGCAGCTCGTTTTGAGGCCCTTAAGTACCACCCTTCAGTGAGAGAGGTGACAGGTTTCAGTAATACTCAAATATTTTTCTTGAATGTGATTTCAGTACTTCATTTAGTTTGTCTGCTTTCTTATTAAAAGATGGCAAATGAATATGTTCTACTACTGCTTTAGTATTTCAAGGTTTCTTTTGGCAGTGTTTGGTCCGTTTTACAAAGGCCTTGATTTAACTCTGGTTTTGTTCAGGTCTTTAATGATAACATCCCCTCTTCCCCTCCTACATCAGCTGGGAGGTTTTTTTTTAAATATTGTCTAAAATTTTTTCAAACTTGAGATTTTACTTCACTGTATGAATTACACTTAGAGCTGCCTGGGAATTCAGCACAAAGCTTTGGGATCAGGACCCATGCACAATCCAAGCTGGATCCTGTGAAGGGGGATGATAGTGGTGCTGGCAGTTGATCCAATCCTGCCCTCTGACTTTTCTGATACGACGCCGTCAGGCTGTAATTTGAATTTCCTGTACGGTGGCACAAAGTTGGAGCCAAGATTTGTCCAGGATGGAGGAAGGAATTGGAGCAGCCCTGTAACAGTTTCTGCAGCTTCCACTTCACAACGTTGTAGCAGGTTTGGGAGCAGAGACTTGGAGTGTTACAGCCCATGTGAAGGTTCCAGCAGGCAGGGGAACAGATTCAGGCAGGAGGATTCTGACAGCCCTGGGTTTCTGAGGTATCAGTCATGCACAAGTCCTGGCTGTGATGGATTGTGATGGGAAGAGAAATCTGTGTGGGGAGGGAAGTGATGCTGTAAATCAACAACAAAGGAGCTGAATGTTGGAAAAAGGGTCACCTGGAGTGGTCAGGAAGGTTTTACTGGGAGCTGTGTGCAGCTTTTCCAAAGGATTTGAGTAATGGTCTGGGAAGAGGGAGAGTCATTCGAGTGGTGGGTGATGCTGAGCAGGTGAAACTCTGGGAAAGATACTTCCTAATGTCATCCTCCTTTAACAAATGATCAGATTTATTTTCCTGGTGTGATTTTCAGCACCTTTGAGAGCTTCTCCCTTCATCTGGGCCAGTCTGTGGTTTGCAGGCTCTGCTAATTACAAGGCAGCAGGAGTTTAAAACCATCCCAAGGCGAGGGCAGAGCTGGGATTGCCTTTCAGCCAAAGCTCAGCTTTGACAAAGACCGGGGATGTGCCTTTTATGTGGGAAAATCAGACGGGTCTGCAGACTTAAACTGTCAGTCAGGGACCAGTTAAGCCCCGTCACGTGGATCCCTTGCACTGCATTCCTTCTGGAGAGGCACATGCACGTTGCATGAGGTACAGCTGTGTGCTGTGTTTAAAAACCCCCAGTCTTTGCTTTCGTGGGGATCTCAGTGTCAGGGCTGTTAAACTAATTAAAAAATTCATAATGTCAATTTTATGTGAAGTCCCAGCCAAGGTCGCTCTTTCAGGGGAAAAAAAAAAGTCCACGTGCCATTGGAAGGTGTCGTTTTTTGCTGTTAAACTGTTCTGAGGAAAAACAGGTGTGGCTGTGGCAAAATATGGACAAAATAAGTGTTGGCAGAGCTATTCTTGATGCAGTTTGGATACTGGATACCAAGAAGCTCTTTGTAGTGTTGACAAGTCTTACCTGTTAATTGATATCTTCAAATTATTTCAGCTGGAGATCGGCTTTGGAAGGGGAAGGGAGGGCTTTGAAATGTTCTTTATTCCCTTTTCTCTTGCCAGTCACTCCATTCTGGGACAGGAATTGAATTTAGAGGGCTCCTGGAATTTCATTTGTGCAAATACAAATTACAGCAGATAATTAAGGTAATTACAGCTCAGGCATTTCTTGCACTCGTCCACCAGCAAATCCCAGTCTAGTTTGGGGAGATAAGTCAGAGGTGAGTGGCTCCTCTGTAAAACCTGGGGGTTGTGGGGGTTATTTTTTGCATTCCTTCTCTTCAGTGTCTTGCAAGTGTTGATGAATTTGTCTTCCAGTTGCCACTTGTTCTGGAGAACCTCCCAAATCCTCAGCACCAAGGAATGCTGTTCCTCTCTCCATCCCTGGCATCCTCAGTTGTTTTCTTTGCAGAATCCTTGCATTTGGTCTGCAAAAAAGGGAAACTTTCAGCTGTTATTTGTCAGACAGGGTGGAAAACAGGGTTGATGAATGAATTCCTTAAAATGAAACCTCTGCTGAGGTTCACTCTCCATTAATAGGTTGGGGTTTTTTACATAATCTTGCATAGCATTTGAATAATCTGGCATTGTTGGGTTCAAAAGCCTTGAAGGGCTGTCAGCAACCACCACAATCACTCTTTTCAGTAGTTTGTGTACTTGCCTCAGATTAAATGTTTTCTTTCAACACCATCTCTCAGATACTTATTTTGCAGCCTAAATCCCATTGGTAACTGTATCTTTTTTGCCTTCTTGAAGAACACCAAAGGCCGATGTCTGGGGCCTGCACAGACATTTCATTTGCCTTGTTCAGAACGTCTGTGCTGTATTTTGGGGTCGGGCCCCTTTGCACTCAGTTCTTACCTACTTTTGCAGAGTTTGCAGCTGTTGGGACTAACAAATTCCTGCTTCTAAAGCATTTGAAAGGAATATTTGCCTTGTGTTTGTTAAGTCCCCTCAGCCAAAGGGGACATGAATTTGTCTTTTCATTATGCTCCAAATTAAGACTTTTAAATTCTACAAACAGGGTAATAACCCCACTTAAGTGCTCGTGTGTAGTCCTGGAGCGCAGCATAAGCTTCTCAGACTTTTATTGCTCTTAGTGTTGCTTTTATTTTTGGACAAAAATGGGTTTTCTTTGCTTTTTGAGGAGTGAATGATGCTTTTGTATCTGCAGTGAGACAACAGGGTTATGCTAAACACTCTCAGGTCAACCTTCAAAGGATGCAGTTCTGAAAATACCATCTTCTGTCACAGCATTTTTACTTTTCTGCTTCCAGGAGCTTTTATTATTCCAGCTGGAACATGCAGAAGTAATTTAGCTACTTCTGTGTCTTTAGCAAAACCCATTTCAGTGCATTTTATTTCCCTGTTTGTGCTACCACTTTAGGTGGTATCCAAAGGATTGTTTTGAGTGGCTCAGTGTTTGTTTGCTTTCTCAGAAAAGCTGTCCCAGATTCGATCCAAGTATTTTCCAGAATAATTTCACTGATACTAAAATCCTTTCTAATTCCACTACCAAGAGCTAGAAAATCCTCCCTGTTCACCATGGGGGTGTCTGAGGGAAGCACTGGGTTTTTATTGTATTGGGAAAAAGAGGTTTAATGGGAAATCAATGCTCCTGGTACAAGTGGAGGTGCTCAGGTTTAAGGGATCTTTCCTGGTGTAATCCTGACCTCACTTCACAGCTGGAATATTTAGGGCTTAGCTTTCCCATGGTTTTGAGGACGCTGGAACATAACATAGGGGAAGTTTTCTCCTGGCTGCTGGTTGTCTGTGAATCAACAGTAAAATTATGTGAATAAATGTATTCAGTATTTGATTTGTGGGACTATTCCCTTTTTTTCCCCTCCAACTGATAACTGGGATCTCAGCTACAACTCCTTGGGGTGTGAGAGTCAAAGAATAGAGGACAGTGGGAATTATAGGGAGGGAAAGACAGGAATAGACTCTTCCTGAGCATTTTTCTGTTCAGCTTTGGCAGTGCTAAAATGGAGCAAAGGATGGGAATGTTGATCCTGGCATTTGCTCTGGGAGTTCTGATGGATTGTAAATAGCTGGGAATGGGGGGTGAACCCTCACAAACGTGAGGGTCTGGGATTTTGTGGGAGCTGTGAATTAACCAACAGGGAGGATTGGTGTTTATTGTGTCAGGATCCTTCCCAGTGCAACTGTAGGATGGGCAAAAGTAGAATGCACTCAAATTTCTGGAATTGTTAAAGCCAAATCCTGAATATTCCCAATGAAGGCAGTTGGAGTGTATTAGGTGAGGCAGTGTGGATTTTAAGGGAGGTACCTGCCCTTCTTGTTATCCTCTGTTTTTCCAGTGGCTGCAGGAATGTACCAGGCAAAGGAATTTTATTTTCTATTTCTGTGACTAATACAGAATGTTCTAAAGCTTTTTTCTTTTTTTTTTCCCCCTTCCTCATCTACAGATCTCTGCCTGGATATTTTGTGTATATGTAATTGTTTTTTATTTTATTTTTCAAGGATTGGACCTATCCCATGAGGAGAGAGATGCAGGTATGACACTTCCATTTACCATTTGAGGCAAAAAACATGGAGCATTCAGTGAGGGGGAAAAAAAAAGAGCTGGTATCAAATCAGTCTTTACAGGTAAAGTGTCAGGCAGCACCACAGGAGACAGAATTAATTAGTTAATTAATGTGAGGATTTGCCAGCTTGGAATGCAGATATGCCTGGATTTCTGTTGTGCAAGTACTAAAAATAAATTAATTTTGTCTTTTTTTTTTCCATAATCCCCCAAATATGACGGTTTTGTCATTCTAAATGTTTTTAGATGATTGCTAAAAATGTATCAGAGCTTTGCTTTCTGACTTAAATTTGCTTGGAAGTGTTCTCCAGGAGGATGGAAAATTAAAGTTTTCCTTCCATCTATCAGCCACATCTTTACACAGGATAAGGCCTAGTGTGCCTCTCTTTCCATGAGAGTGATTTGGAATGAATTCCAAGACAGGATGATGTCCCAAGTTAGAGTTCCCTTCACTTGATCTGGGGCTGGGTGAGATGCCGTAATCAACCTGGAACTCGGTCCCAATAAAGGGCTCGATTCCAGTTCCAAAACAAGATCTCCTGCACAAAGATCATGTTTCTTTTATCCTGCCAAACTGACTATTTTTTTCCCCCCTTGTCCTCTTATCAATAACACATCTCTCCCTAAAATGTAAATGATTTGTTTCCACGGCCGTGCTCCGAGGTGAGCGAAATGAGTTATTTCACATCATTCAGAGCTGGTATTAAATGTCTGTTCTTCCTCCTAGGAAATTTTACCTGGGTTATTTTTAGGCCCATATTCTTCAGCTATGAAAAGCAAGGTATGATTTTTCAGAATATTCTCTCCCAGGGAAGCTTTGCTGTGGTGATTTGTTGCTGTGGGTTTATGTTCAGGTGTATCCATAGAGGGGTAAATTTGGTTGCAGCCCCTCAGTTGGAACATGGAAGATCCCAGAGCAGAAGGAATATGGGATGGTCTGAGCTATTTGTATGGAAATTGAGTCTTGTAGTTAAAATTTAATATAAGTCTTTGAAAATTTAAACAGTTTGAGACCATTTCAGACCAGGCAATTTATTTCCTTCGTTAAAGTGTTGCAACACAAATCAGAGCTGGGCATTCACACACACAGAGTAAAACAAGGACAATTAAATCTCCAATAAAATCAAACACTGCTAAGGCACAGCTTGGCTCTGCAAACTTGCCTCATGCTTTAAATGATCTTATTTTCACGGTCTCATTCCAGCACGAATCCAGTGCTGGCTGGAAATTCCTCCATCGAGTAGGGACTTGCAACTTCAGGGGAAGGGAGAGGTGGGCAGAGACAAACAAGTTCATTGAATGCCTCCCTTAATGCCTGATCTTTTTGGCATTGTTAGGAATGCTTTCTCCTTTTGAAAGACACCAATTTTCACCCTAAATTCTAGAAAACCAGCTCTGATTTTCTTTGAGGACATGATATAGCCCTATTGTGCATGGTTATTAAATATATATATAATATCCATATTTTTTATATATATATGGTTATTAACTATATATAGTTATTAAGTATAACCTTTTCTTTTTATTACTGTGTAATAGATGGATCTGTAATTTCAAAAAGATGTTATTTTTCTCTTCCCACAGCTACCTATCCTTCAGAAACATGGAATAACCCATGTAATATGCATACGGCAAAACATTGAAGCAAATTTTATTAAACCAAACTTCCAACAGTTATTTAGGTGAGAAACCATCCAGATTCCTTTCTTTTTTTTTTTTTTTTTGGGTGTGTGTGGGTGTTCTTTCCAAATATTTTCATGATGTCAAAACCATTTGAAAAATGTGCTGAGGTGCAGAAAGACTTTAAATCCAACCCGTGAAGTTTGTCTGTCCTGCTGAACTCCAGACGAGCCTGAAATGAGAATTATCCGTCAGTTTGCAGCAACTTCAGGCTTAAAGTTGATGGTTCTCAGAGGTGATTCTGCCAGGGGATGTCACAGAAGGTTCCTCACTTCCTTCCTCACAAGGAGAGCTCCAGAGTTTTCCTTAACTGTAGGATTTCTGGAGCTCAGATCAGAAAGCAAAGCCAGGAGGGAAGTGCTGGGATCCTCCTGCAGGTGTGAGTAACTGGGGGGCTGTACCAGTGGTAGCTACTCAGTGTTGTTGTTTACTCACAGCAACTGTTCTCATTGCAGGTATTTAGTCTTGGATATTGCAGATAATCCAGTTGAGAATATAATACGATTTTTCCCTATGGTGAGTGTTTATTTGGGAATGGAGTTGCCCGGGAAGAGTTTTCCGGACTAACAGGCAGCAGTTTCAAATTTGGGATACCCAGCCTGAGGCACCTGGAAGTGCTGCCAAGCTCTTAAGTGACACTTTAATAAGTGTAATTAACTCCTTTTTACAAGTGTGGAGACAGAGTTGTAAGAGCTTTGCCTTGCTATGGTCTCCAAAAAACGGGAATAAAACTAAAAAGGACTGGTCTCAAAACAAAGAAATGGGGGAATCCTGGGGACCTTGACCTTTGGGAAACTTTTATTTTGAGCCCAGGAAGATTTTCATCTCTTGTATCAAATCCAAACCCAAATTCAGAACAGTAACTGGGTGTTGTAACTGAGTCTTACAGCATCTTGAAACATGTTACTGCAGAGGAATTAAAAAGTAACATTAAGTTAAACAGTTACATGCTGATATTTGGCAATAGAATAAACCCTTGATTTAGAGCTATGGGGTTTTCCTCTCTATTTTAATTTAGTTTGCAACAGAGCAAAAGCATTTTGTTCCTTCTTCCACCTAAAAACCTAGTTTTTCACTGACAATTTTATGGATAGTTAAAAGTACAAAAGAAATACAAATGTCCAGTTGGTGCATTGTAAGACTGATACAAAAATTCTACCAAAATTCAGGTGTTACTGCTACTTGCTTTTAAAATAATGTGAAAGTTTTACTCAATTTTTATTTTCTTTTTAGACTAAAGAATTTATTGATGGAAGTTTACAAAGTGGAGGTAAGATCATATTAACTTCTTTCCTTCATCTACTAAGACATTGTTAAAGCTTTAAAATTAATTAGTGGTATGTGTTAGAGGATCTTAATTATGAGGTTTTCTTAAATTTGGGGGTTTATTATACTTGATTTGAACTTTGTTGTACAAGTTCAGAGCAAAGTGTTCTTTCCTTTTGTCTTTCACTGGAAAACAAACCTCTTTGTATATCTGAGGTTTGGGGTCTTTTTTTTTTTCACTTTAAACGTGTTCTCTGCATGAGGTTTTTTTGTCCCTTCTCTAATGTAGGACCTTAAATTTGCATTGTGGTCCTGGAGGGCAGATTCCATCCCTCAGAGGAGCAGGAATCCCTGTTTCTGTATCCCAGGACAGAGCATAGTTAGTAACCCAGAGTGAACTAAGACACACCTGTTACCCTTGTGCTTCCTAGTTCTCCATAACAAGTAAAAACTACATTTCCAAGAATTTTATTCAGTTTATACAACTATAGTTGATTGGTTTTGTTGTTTTGTTTTTGTTTTTTTTCCTTCTCAGGAAAAGTTCTTGTCCATGGAAATGCAGGGATTTCTAGAAGGTAGGAAACTCTCCATCCTGCTTAAGAATATTTTTAAACTGTTAAAATATATTTTACTGATTTCTGTTCGTTTCTTTTCAGTGCTGCCTTAGTTATTGCATACATAATGGAGACATTTGGGGTGAAGTACAGGTAAGAACAGGTATTTGTGCTTTAATTCAAGGGGGGGTAAGTGAATAATCACTTTGGAGGGAGTACAAACAGTTGTGTGTTCACTCAGTCTCAGTAGGTGACACTGCCTGGTGAGTGAGGACTTACAAGGGGCTGATTATTCCATTTCACTTCACTGCAGGTGTGTTTAAATCCTTTTTTTTTTTTTTTAAAGAAGTAGGGACCTGCTGCTAATGGAAGTGGGACAGCAGCCTTATATCCATGGATGTAAAACTATGGGAGAGGCCCCAAGGGCTGTTCTAAGCACTGTGTTGAGCAGGAAATCCAGCTGAGGACTGGGCTGGGCAAACAGCATTTTACACCCACTGCCTCCTGTTTTGTTGTAAAACCAGTCTTTTGGAGGGTTCAGAGGTTCTGTAGTTCCTAGGAACTGATAATCTGAAGGAAGACTCAGACCACAAACTTCTGTATAGTCTGTTTTCCACTGAAGTGTTTTCTCTCTCCTTCTCCTTTTAAGGGATGCATTTACTTATGTCCAAGAAAGAAGATTCTGTATTAATCCTAATGCTGGATTTGTCCATCAACTTCAGGTGACTGTTTTGTTTTTTTTTTTCTGACAATAACTCAAAAGCCATTTAACTAATCATTTTCCTACCAGACAGACATTTCTACTGAGACTTCACATTTACTAACAGCTAAATGTCAGGAGCTGTAGCAGGGCTTGGCAGGAAGATGAGTGGGCACCCCAGCTCCTGAGACTGAAGCTTTAGACACAGAAAATCCAGGAGTGAAGGAGAAATAAAACCCCTGGTGTGTGCAGTGATTAAGAGGCTCTGAAACCTCTTTGCTGGTGGCTGAGGGAGCTGCCAAGTGAATTGTGGCACCTACCAGTGATGCTGCTTGGCACTGGCACTCAGAGCTGGGGAGATTCACAAGTCTGAGGCGGCAAAGAGCAGAATCCTGGAGTTGCTTTGTCATATTCCAAGAGTCTGGCGGGCAGACAGCGTGTTGACAGAGATTTGCAGTGTCTCTGCTGAGGGCTGGCAGCGAGATAATTGAGTATCTCCCAGGTTTGTGTGTTCCTTAAAGCCATTTTCTTAAGTCATCCCCGAAGTTTTCTTTAGCTCTGTCTTCCTTGATGGTTTTTGTCATTCGTGGCAAAGCAACAAAAGATTCTCCTCCTCCAAAATCTGTGCCATATTATAAAATACTCTCCAGTCCATCCTGGTGAACTCTCTGAATTCGTCCTCATCCTTGCAAAGCATCATGCCAAATTAATTGCTAATTGCATTATGCATTTTTCAACCTTTTCAGGAATATGAAGCCATCTATCTAGCAAAATTAACCATCCAGATGATGTCACCACTGCAGCTGGAGAGATCCCTCTCGGTTCCACCTGGGAATACAGGTGAGAAGCCCCTCCTGTCGTGTGTGAGGTGATTTTTACACTCCCCTAAGTAAACCTTTGGGAGCAGAATAAATTGGGATGGCTGCAGTTGGTGTGCAAGCTGTGTCCAAACTTCAATATGCTTAAATATTCTGTTCTCCAATGACTGAACTTCCCTCTTCTCCCTTTTGCAGGAAGTTTAAAGAGGATGCACGAGGAGGATGAAGAACTTGGAACCATGCAAGTGGCAGCAGCACAGAATGGATGAGAGCTGAGGACAAGCACTGTTTGTATTATGAATTCCTGCCAAGAAAGGTGAAGAAAACTAGGGGAAAAAAAAATGACTTAATAATGCAAAACAATGAACACACATTGCTTCTTTTCAATTACATGTTGCTTTCAGATGTAAATCTGCCTCTGCAACACACTAAGCATCATTTTTAAGATGTTGGACTTCTTGAATGAATAGATGGCACTGATTGTTTTACTCCTTTTTTACACTTTACAGTTTTATTCTAAACCAAGATTTTTGGACTTGCAAAGAGGTATTATTGCAATAATGCACTTTTCATACTTGAAATTTCTTTATTTGTATGATATAAAGTTATTACTTTAAACAAAATGCAAGCGGGGGGGATTTGTTTATAAAGTTATTTGTGTAATTTATAACAAGAGACTTTAGTAAAGAAAAAGTTTGCTAAAACTCACCTTGTTCTCAGTATGTCTCGTGGTAGAAACGTGCTTTAGGAGCTGCACGATGTGCTGCTGCTGGCAGTGAGCTGAGCAGTGTTTAACCTCATTGTACACTGAATTATCTTGAGACTGGCACTCTGGGACCAATGGAAGACTGTTCTGAAAATCTCCCTGTTTTATGGAAGTGAAAGTTGAACAGGGTACTGATGACTTAATAAAATAATCATGTGTTGGGCTAGTACAGAGGGCAGCCAATTTGACACACGTCAAGGCTGAGTTCTTTTAGCCAGCATTAAAAAGCTGCTTGTAAATGAGTTAAGGGTTAATTCAAGTTGAACAAACATCTTCAAACTCGTACTGAAGGAGTAGTTGCTGTTATAAGACAACAGCTGCATTATTTGAGGTAAAAACCTGGGGTGCTGTTTGAAAACTGAGGCCCAAAGCGCTGCCTGTTATGGGACCAAGACTTCAAGGATTCACCTCAGGTCTGGTGAAACACTGGAGTCAACTAAGGAAACACTTGTTGGTGCTTTGAAGTTTCCAAATTGGGAATTGTCAGGGGGGGTTGTGCAGCTTTAACTCTTCTCCTGTCCCAGCAGCACAGAGGTTGTGCAAGTCCCAGTTCTGCATCTGCTTTATTTCCCAATGTTTCTTGCATAAAAGCTGGGAATGGAATGATGGTTCCTTGGGAGCACTGTGGGGACTGAGCACTTCAGAAACCTGTTAGAAAATCCTGTGGATTTGGGAAATGTGAGCTTGTACCTGGACTGTGTTTTAACATGGAGCAGGTGGGCTCAAGATTTGGGGATCAGGGCATCCCCCTGCACTTGGATACGGCCAGGTGGGGATGGGAATGTCCTCTGCCACCTCTGAATGGACAACCTGTGCTGGGGGGATTCCCTGAGGGCACAGATCTGTGGATTTGAGGACAGGAATTAAACAGTGCAGTTGTTTAGTACTGGGGGGGGGTCTCCTTTCCCTGGCCTTGCAGCTCCTGGGAAGGCCTGCTGAGGGCTGGTCCCTCTGGAGCACGTGGAGCTTTTGGCCACGTCAGGGTAGTTAAACCTGGTTTGAAAATCTGTGCCTGGATTTGAGCTGCTCTGGGACAGATGTGGGTGACACCCGAGGAGGAAACATCCCACAGTGAGTCAGGGTTGTTTAGCTGAGCCAGAACACAGGGTGAGGCTTTCCAGCTAATAACCTCTGTTCCCATGGAATGTGAAGGCCCTGGAGTTCTCAACCAGTGATCAGCAGGAACAGGGAAGTGCTGCTGAGAACCTCTGCCACCTCCAGCAGTGATGGAGCAGCGTAAATCCTTCAGGGGGAAAAAAAAAACCTGGAATAAAAAGTCTGATGCTGGAGTTATGAAATTTTGAGCTGGAAAAAAGGAAGTGACTTCTCTTCTGGAGAACTGCCCTGTGTCAGTGTTCAGCCCACAGGCTCAGCGTGCAGGGCTGGTTCTGCAGTGGTGGAGGGTTTGTTACTTCCTACGAAGTGACTCTCCATAAAGGAATTCTTCTGGGGCTGTTGGGAAACACAGTCCCGGCCGTTCCACCACGAGGCTCCCACATGGCTGCACGGCTCAGACACTGCCAGCCACGAGCTGCTGGTGAAACAGGGGTGGGAACCAGCAGATCCCTTTCTATTTTGGGTCCCTGGTGAAGGGGAGGGATGAAACACAGATGGAAGGCACTGATTCATCTCACCAGGCTCATCCATGTGCAGTCTGGGGCCGTTATCCCTGGGGTCCCGGGGAGACTCTGTTACTACTCCATGACTAAGAATTTTTCACCAATCCAGTTTTTTTTCCATGCTGTCACCACATCCTGATGCCTTTTACAGTCATTCTGATCTGTCTGCCTGTCACATCCTAAGGGATTCAGAGATTAATTTCGCTCATATCTATTATTAAGCCTTTTATTTAAAACTTCCTGATGTCTGTCTCCTGTAGCTGAACTGCCAGCAGCTATTTCAGTGTTTGCTTTTGGGGGTTCAGCTCGAGGTGGGAATTGGCAGGAGGGTCCCTCAGTGTGGATTTAAAGGAGTGGTGGAGATCAAATCATTATTTTTTATTTCCCCTTCCCCAGGTTCAGACACAAAACTGCAGCAACCAAGTCTTTGGGGATCCACAGCTCTACATTATATATAATGTGTGTATATATATATATATATATATATATATATACACACACATTAGATAAATGTAGATAAATTAATGGGCTTCAGCAGTTTGGGAAGGTGGACAATATATTTCCATACCCCCTGTGGCTGTTAAATGCTGTAATTTGTGGCATTTTTCCCATTCCCGTGAGTTCCAAACACACACCTGTGACTGGGGGTGTTCCAGGGACACACCTGACCCCACAGTGGCCCCTCTAAGTCCCCAGCCCGGGCAGCCTCAGCTCTCCAGCTGCTGTTTCCAGAGGGGTGGGAATGTCACCTCTGGGACAGAACAAAGAGCTCCTCAAAGCTCCAGGGCCGCTGCTGAGCCCACAGAGGCTTTGTCATGCAGCCACAAAACCCAGCTTTGAACCCAATCCATTTGTTTTACAATGATCTGAGCCGGGGCCACAAGCACCTGCTCCTCACTCCTACTAATCTTCTCATTAACTCTTAATGAGGGCCCGGAGCTATTTAGATGGTGTAGATATCATGGAATTCAACTAATCCACTTGAAAGTAGTGGAAGTTCAGAATTAATTAAAAATGTGAAAGGCAAGAAAATCCACCTCAGTCGCTTGGGCCAGCACGAAGCAGGAGCTGCTTTATAGAGTTAGTTCAGAGTCAGAGCTCAAGCCATGGAGATGTTTGTCCATGGAACACAGCTGGGAAGAGCCCTGGAGAGAAATCCATGTGGAATCTCAAAAACTGTTCAGCCTAGGGAAAGGGGAACAGGTACACACTTGCTCTGGGGACCTACCACCCTATGGAAAACAGTCCAGGTACAGTTGGCAGTTTTCATTTATTCAGCTTAAACAAAGATATCTTTTAAAAAAATAATCAATAAATAAACCAGACATCACCAAGGAGACACCGTATCAAGTGGAGAACCCTCAGGAACATCAAGCAGAGCTCCCAGCACAGTGTAGGGCCGCTCTCCACAGCACAATGGAGGACACTGTGCATGGCCCACAAACAACACAGGCTGTTCCCTACAAGCCCCGGGGGTTTATAATGCCCTATTCATGGATGTGGGATTTGTCACTCTCCACACAAAACACCACTGTTGAATCCAGGGCTTTGTACCTTGTTTGCCACCGCTGGCAAAAGTGCTAAAATCATTTATCCAATCTTACAGCAAGAGGGAAGCTCCAAAGCAGCAACAATCCCTTGGGAGCAGGATACTGGAGGGATAAATCCATACCAGCAGAAGCAGAGCCCACCTGGCCTCCAGGAGTTCCAGGACAGGAACTGTCCAAGAGGAGTTGGCCGGGTGTGTTCAGTTCACAGAATCACAGGATGATTTGGGTTCAAAGGGGCCTTAAAGCCCATCTTATCCCTCCCCCGGCTGCAGGCAGGGACACCTTCCACTATCCCAGGTTGCTCCAAGCCCTGTCCAACCTAGCCTTGGACATTTCCAGGGATCCAGGGGCAGCCACAGCTTCTCTGGAAAACCTGTGCCAGGGCCTCACCACAGTCAGGAATGCCAATATCCCATCTAACCCTGCCCTCTGTCAATGGGAAGCCATTCCCCCTTGTCCTGTCCCTCCAGGCCCTTGTCCCAAGTCCCTCTCCAGCTCTCTTGGAGCCCCTTTAGGCACTGGAAGGGGCTCCAAGGTCTCTCTTCTCCAGGTTGAACACCCCCAGCTCTCAGGTGAAGCTCAATCTGCCAATCCCAATCCCTTTCCCATTGATTACTAGCCAGAATCCACTACAGATGGAGTATATTCCATCAGACATTCCAGCTTCCCAGTTCCCTCTGCCCTGTCACAAACCACATTTGGGTTTTTTGTGTCAGAAAACAATTAATTATCCTGAAAACCAAGTTATCAGCTAAAGTGCAGGAGCCCTGCAGTGAGAAGCACACATCCATCTTTAGACTGGGAATCCAGCACAGCCCATAAGGATCCTCCCCTACCTGCGCAAACAGTAACAAATCCAGCCTTGGAAAATAGTGCCTATAAAACTTCCAACAGCACTTCTGTGAGGTGTCATGGAAAGAACAGAACAAAGGCCTGTTCTGTGTCAGTAATTCTGCATAAGAGAAGCCTCATCCCTTCCCAAGCTCCGTCACCCTTCCATCAGCACAGGCAGCAGGACAATCCCAGGGGCTGTCCTTTGGCTACCGAGAAAAGAAGCACAAACCTTTAGAAAAATACAATGCAAGAAAAAATTTGAGATAAAAATATATACCTTTGGTTAAAAACCATCCCTTTAACGAGTCCTTTGTAACTCAGCTAGAACAGAAAAGCTTCACCTCGACTCAACAGCAGTAAAAATTAGTTCTAAGCTTTTTCCCCCTAACCCAGAGGACCCTTCTAAAACCTCATTAATTTGTTTTCCCGGGATTTACACATTTGATGTTCATTATTTATAGGGATCATTATATTTGCAGCCATAAACTATATAAGTTTTCCACGAAGAGAATGTTTGGAGCACAAGCTCCTCCACCAACAGTCTTTTACCACCTGGAAGTTGTTAATTAAAGAACCGTTGAAACATGTAGTTTTCCTCAGATACCAAATAGCCAAACTTCTTGTAGAAATCCACGTTTTTGGGCAGACATTCCAGCGTGATTTTGTAACAGTTCAGTGTCTTACTTAGCAAGGTGAGGGTGGATATTAATCTGGGAAAGACAGAAAACCAACAGTTAAACGTTGGGTCAGTGAACATTTAATTAAATTATCACAGTGACAACACTGAGGTCTGACAGCACTGACAGCACTCTCTGCGTTTTCCAGTGGATCATTTTATTCCCAGCTGGTGATCCCTGCTGGGTAAGTTCTTCCCAGGTCCCTGGCAGGGTGGATCTGCCCTGCAGGAAGCTGTAAGTGCTTGGTGCCCACCTGCTGCTGATCGGAAAAGGTGGGGAAATACTCACAGTTTTCCAAGCTGCTTCCCCCTGCACTCCCCGCTGACCACCACGTCTTCTATCCTCCCTCTCTGTGGAAACATAGCCAAGGGTTAGGACTGGAATTCCTCTTCCAGCTTCCCACCACAGGATCCAGGTGTGGATCTCCAGCTCAGCTCCCTGTTTTCACAGTCTGGCTGGGATTCCCAACACGGAGATCCTTGTCCACCTGCTCCATCAGAACCACGTCTGACATGTACAGAAGCTCACTTTTTTTTAGGGAAGGGAGAACAGGACAGACTTCCAAATGCAGTTTTCCCTTAGGAAAAGCCCAAGTTTTCTTTTACTGTTAGCTGAGCACCCAAATGAGAGATATTTTTAAAATGCAGAAAATACTTGATGTTTTTAAATCTATTTTTAAAAATATTTACATTTTTAAGGTTGGAAAAGCCCTCTAAGACCCTTGAGTCCAATTGAGTCCAACCATTCCCCCAGCACTGCCAAGGCCACCACTGACCCATGTCCCCAAGTGCCACATCCACACGGCTTTGAAATCCCTCCAGGGATGGGGACTCCACCACTGCCCTGGGCAGCTGTGCCAGGGCTGGACAACCCTCTCCATGTGGAAAGTTTTCCTGATGTCCAACTTAAACCATTCCTGGCACAACTTAAGGCCATCACCACACCGTAACACCATAAAAACACCATGTCCAGAGTCCGGGACGGGCTTTTTTCCTCCCTTTCCAGCTGCAGTGACAGGATTTACCTTGGCACAGGAGTGAGTGAATTTATGTTCTATAACCAGCGTTGCTGTAGCAACGATCTGTCCAAGGTTTGTGTCCTCCACGACGGTAACGTAATAATCTCCCGATCTCTTCATGTGCTCGAAGGTTTCTGGGGGAGCAGAGAGTGGAACAGTCAATTTAGTCTCAGATTAAACTGCGGGTAAGTCTGACACTTGCAGCACATTCTGACTGCAGATTATTGTGGGATCACAAGGAAGATGCACTCAAGACCCCAGAACCTGAAAGCCCAGGAGTCAGACTAACCCAAAATAAAGCAGAAATTAAAGTGAATTCCTCTTCCTCAGGTGCCCAGAGATCCTTCCTTCCCCAGTGTCTTCGGGCTCTAACAGAATCCCAGACTGGCTTGCATTGGAAGGGACTTAAAGGCCATTTCATTTCACCCCCTTCATGGGCAGGGACACCTTCCACTAGCCCAGGTTGCTCCAAGCCCTGTCCAACCTGGTCTTGGACACTTCCAGGGATGAGGCAGCCACAGCTTCTCTGGGTAACCTGTGCCAGGGCCTCACCACCCTCACAGGCAGGAATTTCTCCATGGAAAGGGATGTCCAGCCCTGCCACAGCTGCTGAGGGCAGTGGTGGAGTCCCCATTCCTGGAGGGATTTAAAAGATGTGTGGATGTGGCACTCGGGGACATGGTTTAATGGTGGGCTTGGTCTAGATCCTGTGATTCCCTGCATCCCTGGCTGCTTCCCCAGTGCCTGCCTACCAAGGAGTGGGATCTAAAAGGGTCCTGAAGTGGGCCCCAAGGGAGCTGGAGAGAGACTTTGGACAGGGGCCTGGAGGGACAGAACAAGGGGGAATGGCTTCCCACTGGCAGAGTGGAGGGTTAGATGGGATACTGGGGAGAAATTCCTGACTATGAGGGTAGGGAGGCCCTGGCACATTTTGGCCAGAGAAGCTGTGGCTGCCTCATCCCTGGAAGTGTCCAAGTTTAGGACACTTGGATGGGGCTTGGAGCAACCCAAAATCAGCCCAAATAACCCATGCCAGGTATCTTAAGCTCAGTCTCAAAAGCAGGTTCACAATTAGGCCTGTCCCAGCCAAGCAGCCCTCAGAGATTGCTGCAGCTGGATCCAAGGCAGAGTGCCAAAGGCTGCCTCAGGGGAGCTGAGCTCATCACTCCCTCTGGCATCAGGCAGTCAAAGCCTCACTCCCAGGCAGCTTTGCTGCCAGCATCAGAATCCTCTGGTTCCCAAAAACTTCTATGGAAATTCCAAGGAATAATGATATACTCACTGATAAACTGCTCTGGGCTTGCAACTCCAGTTTCTGTCAGCTGACCCAGAACCTTGAAAAAGCCTGTTGGAAAAGAGGGGGGAACAATAAACCCTCAGGGAGGGACAGACACACACAGTTAGCTCTAAATGACACCCAACAGCCTGTTTGGAGAGTTACCATCCCATGAAGCTCCCACCCTGGGCAATGCTGAAGGATCAGCTGAAGCATCGGAGCAAACTGCAGCTTGAGTGCAGAAGGTGCAAGAAAAGGATAACCCTGGAATTATGTGATATTCAGTCATATGTCCAAAACAACTTTTTTATCCAAACTGCAGAACTGAAGGAGAATTCATGCACCAAGATGCCAGTTCATGTTGCTCTGGTCTTAAAGGGAACAGTACGAAAAATTGTGCTCCCTCTCTAAAGCTGTGGGGAATAGGAAGTTGTGGAATATTTGATTTAAATTTAAGATTAAAACAGTAAACCAAGTTTTCAGGGTCACCCAACACAGCACCAATCCACGGTGCCAAGTGCTCAGATTCAGGGTAGTGGTCATGGCCCCAAACCTGCCAGGAGCATTTGGACAAGGCTCTCAAGGCACGTGGTGGGATTGTTGGGGTGTTGTGTAGAGGGCCAGGAGTTGGACTCAATGACCCTTGTGGGTCTCTTCCAACTCAGGATGCCCTATGGTTCCATGAAATTGCTTACTGACAAAAATAACCCAAATCAGGGAGAGAGAGCAATCCCAAACTACCGAGAGCTCATGCACAAATACATACCATTGATTCGGTGATGATCAAACAGGATCCTACCTCGGTTTAAATCAGCTGTGCAAAGCGGTCTCAGAACCAGCCCATCCCCCGGATTCAGCGGAGAAATAGCGGGAGAAAACGTCGTCGTGTTCTCGCTCCAGTCCAGCTCGTGCAGAATCCTGGGGTCAAACATGGGCGTGTCGTCGGGCATCACGGTGGCCACCGGCATCATGGCTGTGGCAGGGGATCTGCAACAGAACGGGCACGGAACGCTTGGGTTCGCTCTCACCTCTAAGGCAGTTGCTTCCCGTGGTTGTGGCACGCCCTGGGATGTTCCTCGGGGATGTAAGCAAAGGTGAATAAACTGCTGTTGACCTTCTGTGCAAGTGAAGTTCCTCGACCTTCACCCAACGAGGCCGCTGGGCAAACACAGAGTGCCCTGACACCGCACAGCCCTGACACCGCGCACGTCACCGAGTCAACACGTGGCGCTTTGGTGTTTATCTTGGGAAAAACAACCTGAGAAGGCACTGAGCAGGATATTTAAACTCTGCAGCCCTCTGAACGGGAAGGCATCACTCCCAAGAAACCTCCCAACATCCTCTTCAAAGATCATTTGCATTCCTGTTCACTGACAGTAGGAATAATGCACTTTTTCCAAGCAGCCCCATCCTATAAATATTTAATCTCTTGGGCACGAGGTGCCACAACCCAGAGCTGAGAACGCAGGTGATGCCACAGTTACAGCCCAAAGTGCCCCTCCCAGGCTGTCCTGTTTGCTCCAGGTGTTTGCAGAGCCCAGCTGCCGAGCAGTGTCCATGAACAGGGAAAACACAAGTGCCAAGGTGATGGTGACACCTGTTAATGATTAAAGAGACTTGGGAACTGGGCTTTACTCAGAGTAACAGGAAGCAAAGGGATATATTTTCCTTACTGAGCTCAAAGCCAGGTTGGACGGGGCTTGGAGTATCCTGGGATAGTGGAAGGTGTCCCTGCCCATGGCAGGGAGTGGAACTGGATCTTTTTAAGGTCCCTTCCAACCCAAACCAGTCTGGGATTCCATGATACAGGAAAACACTTCTTCCTTGGTCACCTGTGGAATACCTGGTCAGGGTTCTGGTATGAGCAGAGGTCATGGGAACTTCTCCTGAGACCAGTGTGTCTTTTTACATCCCCAAAATTCCTCAGCTGCACCATAAATGGTACAGCACCCACACACCAGCAGACAGGCCAAATAAACATCAGGAATAAAAATGTATTTGGGATGACACTTTTTACAGTAAGACACCTCCCAGCCCTGTTAAGCTGTGACAAAAGTACAAAGGGTGTTACCCACGAAGCATCACAGCCTAAGTGCAGCACAGGAGCCTCAAAAGTGAAAGTGGATCCAGAAATCCAACTGAAAAAAAAGCTTCTCAAAATAAAAGCCAACACTAAATTTTTTTATGCCACCTGCTGATACACAATGGCCTTTAAATCCCAATTCTTGTCTTAATTTTGCACATGAAAGTTAAAAAATTGCTGCTGTAGCAATTAAACAGCAACACAAACTCTTATCCTGCGTGAATTTCGGGAAAGGTGAAGGGCAAAGAAAACCATTTCCACAGATATCTCTGTTCCTAGAGCTCAACTATCTCAATATTGCTGTTCCTCTGTGCTCTTACAAGACCTTCCTAGAATTCCCAAGTGTCCATACCAGCATCCAAACAGTGCCCTGCACAGAATAAAACAAACCTCACAAATTCCAGCTCAGGGTTTCAGCACATCAAGCTCACAGAGCAGTGGAAGAAATAAAATTTGTGATGCTCTTTGAGCAATTAGTGATAAACTAAGAGTTATTTTCCAAACTGCTTCCGGCACAGCTGGAGCAGGACGGAGTTGGAAGCTTCGCACATTTTCTAGAGGGAGGAATATGACTTAGATTAATGCCAATTAAAAATTAAATAAAGGATTAGTGTATGGTGAGGAATAAGAGCTCTGGCCTTTGGGTCATCCTGGTGCACAGCTGAAGTCTCCCTGGAGCATCCTGGGATCCCCACTGTGTGTTGGGAGCAGGATAGGGAGGGAGAGGCAGCAGGGTATGCCCAGGGACCCTGGGGGGGCTCAGTGGGTGCTTGGCCAGGACTCTGCCAGCTCCCCAGTTTTGGGGCACAGGGTGACAGAGCCACCAGAGACTCCACCATGTGTGGCCCCTCAGGGGGTCCCCACAGCTCCCCTCAGGTGAAGCAGGACCCCAACACACAACCAACCCCTCAGGGGGGTCCCCTCACCCCGTACACAGACGTTCAGGGGGCCCCCAGACCCCCTCATCTCACAGTCAGCCCCTCGGGGGGGTCCCCTCACCTCACACACATCCCCCCACATGCCCTCACGCCATACGCGGCCCCTCGGAAGGGTCCCCACAGTTCCCCTCAGCAGCCCCTTGGTGCAAGACCCCCCCCACAACCAACCCCTCAAGGGTGTCCCCTCATCCCTCATATGTCCCCTCAGAGGGGTCCCCTCACCTCACACACAAAACCTCAGGGGGTCCCCAGACACCCTCGCCTCACACGCAGCCTTTTGGGGGGTTCCCTCACCCCCCATCTCTGACCTACAGACCCTCGGGAGGGTCCCATACCCCCTCACCCCACACACAGCCCCTTGAGGGGGGTTCCACACCCCTTCACACCCCATACGACCCCTCGGGTGGGGGGGGAGGTGTCCCCTCACCTCACACACAACCCCTTAGGGGGATTCCCACACCCCCTTACCCCGCACAGAGTCTCTCGGAGGGGTCCCCTCACCTCACACACGGCCCCTCGGGGGCGTCCCCTCACCTCACACGCGACCTTTTGGAGGGGTTCCCTCCCACAGCCCCCGCGCCCACACTCAGCCCCTCAGAGGGGTCCCCTCACCTCGCCGCCCCCCTCCCCCCCCCCTCCGCGCTCACCGCTCGCGCCGGTCCCGCCGCACGCGCCGCACGGACGTGGCAGCGGAGGGGGGCGGGGCCGTGCCGGCGCCCGGCGCGCGCGCGCGCCCGCCCACTCGCGCGCGCAGCCAATCGTGGCCGAGCCCGGCGGTATCGCGGGCCAATCACCGCCCGCCAGCCACGCCCTCCACTCCCCCACCCCGGCGCCTCGCCGGCCGCGCGACCTTTCGGCAAAAACCCCGCCCCCACTGCCCCGCGCGCGCTCTGTGGCCACGCCCTCGCCCTCGGGGAGGCCACGCCCCTCCACCGGCGCATGCTGCCCTCAGCGCCGGGCCAAGATGGCGGCGGAGGGTTCGCGGAGTTGCGTGCCGCCCCCCCCCCGGCCTCAAAAGTCTTCTCACCCTCACAGATACTCCCCTGGGTTCAGCGGGCGAGGGCAGCAAGGCTGCCAAGACCTCAGCTCCCCTCCTCACCCCACCTCACGGGTACAAAGGCCGGGGCGTTTGCCCTGGGAGGGCTTGGAGTCGTAGATTGACAGGAGGGTTTGGGTTGGAAGGGACTTTAAAGATCATCTCGTTCAACCCCCTGCCATGGGCAGGGACACCTTCCACTAGACCAGGTTACTCCAAGCCCTGTCCAACCTGGCCTGGAACACTTCCAGGGATCCAGGGGCAGCCACAGTTTCCCTGGGCAACCTGTGCCAGGGCCTCACCACCCTCACAGTCAGGAATTCCTTGCCAATATCCCATCTACCCCTGCCCTCTGTCAGTGGGAAGCCATCCCCCTTGTCCTGTCACTCCAGGCCCTTGCTTGGATAATTTTCATCTCTGGAGGATTGTTTTTGGAGGCTGCATTTTCCCCTTGGACAAGACGTGCTGGGAAGGGCCTTGTTCAGCCGCCAGCGTTGAGAGTGAGGGTTTTTCTTCATTTTCAATAAAAAACCCCAACTTCAAGATCGTCTCAAGAGACTTTTACGAATAGTTGAGGTCAGGGCACACATGTAGCTTTGAGCAGAACTGGTGAGCACAATAATTACACAAAATGCTTCTGGGACATGATTTTCATTTTCCATGTGTCTCCCTCGTTATTTTACCCTCTGAATGAATCACTCTGTAACCGTGGAAACAATCAACATTCCTTATTTTTGACTTCTTCAGGCCCGGAGTGACCAGATGACACACACCCCAACCTCCCTGGGTTCAGGCACACCCAAAATCTGGGGGCGAAGCTCCCAGGCTGGAGCCAAGGGAGTCACTGCAACATTTAACCTTTCATTGCAAGGGAAAGGCACAAACTGGGTATGAGTTTCCCCTTCTATCCCTTCTCTGTTTATTTCCTTTGTTTTGAGGGATTAAGAGGACCGGGAGTGTCCCATCCACGATAAAAATGAACATTATGTTGCACTGCTTTGGCTTGTTGGACAGGGAAATTGGGAGTGTGGACACATTTCCCCTGCATGAAAAATGACAGAGGTTTATCTGAACTGCCTCCATGGTGCCTGTTCCTCGTTGGAAAGATTTTATGGACGTGAGGTAGATTTTACATTTTGCCTAAGTCACTGGGGAAAGTCGAGGCTTTTTAAAACCAAAATCGTGCCATAACAAGGCCACGACCACACGGGGTCAGCCCAGCTCTCCCCAGTGAGGTTCAGGGCAGAGGTCCTGGACCTGCACTGGGAATACGGTGACTTTTGGATGAGCCTCGTCCAGGTGCATCCTCCCAATTTCCAACGACCTGCTGTGTAGGGACATCCTGACCCAGAGGGTCCATCTGGCCCATGGGATTTAACAGCTGAGCAGCACAATCCTCTGTGTGTGTATCTCAGCTCCCGACCTCCAGAGCTCCTGTGCTGCAGTTGGGATATTGAAAAATGATGAAAAAATCCTTTTTTTTTTCCGGTTAAACCTTTTGTCCTGCCCCAGCAGGGCTGAGTTTGTCGGTCCTGGAGACCAGTGCTGTCCTATTTACCACCACAGGTGCTGACAAACCTTTCTGCCTGTGGATTTTGTGGCACCAAGAGTCTAAACCAGAGTGGGGAAATGATCTGGATCCTGTCGTTCCAGGCCCTTGTAAATAGTCCCTCTCCATCTTTCTCGTGGCTCCCTTCAGGTACTGGAAAGCCACGATTAGGTCACCCCAGAGCCTTCTCTTTTCCAGGCTGAACAATCTCAGTTCTCTCAGCCTTTCCTCATAGCAGAGGTGCTCCATCCCTCTGATCACCTTGGTGGCCTCCTCTGGACTTGCTTCAACGGGACAATTATATTGATTAGTTTGTCCAGCATGGAAAAGCTGGATCAGGAATCAGCCACTTTGCTGAGTCAACACTTGAAATGTGCTTTGCTTCTGTCTGGTGACCAGTGACAGAACCTGAGGGAATGTTTGGAGCTGTGTCAGGGGAGGGTTACTTTGGGTATTGGGAAAAGGTTCTTCCCCCAGAGGGTGGTTGGGCACTGAACAGGCTCCCCAGGGCAGTGGGGAGCCTGCCCCAAGGCTGCCAGAGCTCAAGGAGGGTTTGGACAACGCTCTCAGGGACAGGGTGGGATTGTTGGGGTGCTCGTGCAGGGCCAGGAGTTGGACTGGATGATCCTTGTGGGTCCCTTCCAACTCAGGATATCCTGTGGTTCTTACCAGGGCCAGGGAGGATCCACAGCAGCCAACAGAGAAATCCTCCCGATACCTCCGAGGCCAGGCTTTGGTTGCTGAAGACCAAGGGGAAAGTTGAATTAACACATTTCCACTGGTTTCCACACTTCCACGTGTCCTCTCCGACAATTCCACTGCGGCATATTCTGTTGCAGAGGGAAAAAAAACCCCTCCAGCCAAGTGATATCTTCTGGCTGCTCCGAATTTGCCAGCGCTGGAACAGGGCGGTCACAAAGCAGGGAAATTGAAAATTCCTGACAGCAGGACAGTCAGAAGGATGGGAAAGGAGCCATGCACTTGCTTGATGTAAATGTCTGAGCCCGAACACACCCTGCTATTTATGAGGGGGGAAAAAGTGCTCTCCTTTCCTTCGGCTCCATGACACCAGGCAGGAAGAACGAATAAATCCCTGCCACAATAAAACTGTTTACATTCTGTTTTGGAAACATGCTTAGGGCTTGGAATACCCAGGGAGCAGACTCTTTGGTTCTTTTTAACCTCTCCTAAACAGGGCTGTATCCAACCACCAATAAATCCTGGGGGGTGGAAATGTGCGAAGAGCTGCACAAACCAGCTCCAAGCACCTGGATTTTGAAGAGGACCCAACTCCTGTTTATCCCCTGGAAAGAAAGATGCTGCTGTGTGTCCCCAAGCGTTTCCTGCAGATGGATAAAATAAAGTCAAGAGGAAACCTGGCAAAGCTCTGCTGCCACCCAGCTGGCCCCCTGGGACCTGGGAAATGGCATTTCCTTGGGGCTTAGGATGGTGTTAGAGCAGTTATGGAAGGAGAAGTGCATCTGGACTGTGTCTGCCTCGCTGGAAGTAATTATCCCATCATTATCCAAGCAGCCAAATGTAGTTTAACTGCAGGGGAAGTGTTGGGAACCACAGGTGTGTTACAGCCCCAGCCTGCCATCCATGGAGGCTGGAAGTGTTCAGTGTCTTCAGGGTTTCTTATCTTTCCTCTTCATTTCCCAAACCCACTTCTTTTTTTTTTTTCATGGAGAAAATCCCTGCCTGAGGCTGACAACATCTCGCCTCATTAGTGCTCAAATATCCTGGCCTAGAGTCCAAGTCAGAGCTTGAAAAATACACAAAACCAGCTCCAAACTTATTTATGGCTGTCACCCTCCTTTGCACGTGTTTTATGGGAAGTGAGATAGCATCAACTCGTCCCAGAAAGTTGGTGCTGAGATCAGATCACGAATCTGGCTGATTTATGGGGGATGAAGCCCAAATGGTGCTTCTGATCCCAAAGTGCTGCAAATACAGAGGTATATGCACTGCAGGTGACTCCAGAGGTTTGGGATCCCTGCAGGTAAAAGGATATTTTCTCACCAGCCACAGGCAGAGCACTCCCAGTGACAGATCTTTCCGTACAAAATGAGCACACTGTGGGTTCCACAAGCCATTTTTCTGGATGGATTAAATAGTAGGTTTTATCTGTTTCCCTTCCACCAAGGTGACATTTGTCTGGTGACTGTCTCCGCAGACACACTGTCACCCAACATCCCATCAGTGGGACACTTAAGGAGCATCTTCCTGTCTTTCCCAAAGCTTGTATTTCTATGAACTCCACTAAATTCAGGATTGAAGCTTCCCCAAAGGAAACACAGCCTTGATCTCTCATCCTCTCCCTCCATGGCTGCTGGGGGATACATGTCAGGGACAAAACTGGGCTCTCTGCAGCCGTGGGGCCCGTCCTGCATCATCAGATCAGCTGAAACCTGAGGACAAAATTGCCACCTTGGTGGGATGAGCAGCGGGAAGGGCTCCATCCCTGATCCCTTAGTGCTGATGAAGCCATGAGCAGGGAGAACGATCCCAAATTTCCCTCCGAAGGAACCCCCCTCCCATTGCACGTAGTGGGGAAACAGTGTCCAACCTACCCCAGCTCTGATGGAGCTGGTTCTGCCCGGAGATGGGCAGAGGATCTGGATGAGACAGGAGGCACTTCCCAGCTTTTATTACCTCTGACCCAACTGCAGATGGATCTGCTACAGAAAAAAAAAAACGGAAATGAAGGCAGAGCAGGTGGTTGTGGAGAGCAAACACTTGGATTTGGGGGATATTTTAACTCTGGGTGTGTCAGAGCTCTGGGAGGGGACCGTGACCGTGCATGTTTGCTCTGATTTCCCCCCTCTGGTTTCTGAGCTATGTGACCCATCCATGGAGATGTCCATGCCCTCGGAAGTGCCGAGGAGGGGTGAAACTCCAGGTGCCAGCATGGAGGAAAATGCCCTGAGTGAAGGACTTGGAGAGTTGCCAAGGCCTCTGGAATGGCCACAAGTCTCCTATGTGAGACCAGTGAGTGGAGGTTGGTCCTGGGGATGGAAAGGGACCTGGGGATGGGCTTTCAGATCCAAGCTAGCTTTGGGCTCACTGGGAACTGATGATGGCGGATACACCCATGGACTGAGGGTTTAAACTGACAGGGGGCAGATTTAGATGGGCTATTGGGAAGAAATTCTTGGCTGTGAGGGTGGGGAGGCCCTGGCACAGGTTGCCCAGAGAAGCTGTGGCTGCCCCATCCCTGGAAGTGTTCCAGGCCAGGTTGGATGGGGCAGGGAGGTGGAATGAGATGGTCTTTAAGGTCCCTTTAACCCAAACCATTCTGGGATTCCATAATTCTATGGTTGTCTCAGTGACCATCCCTGTGTCCAGCCCATGATTCCCCCTCGGTGCCAGACAGGCAATTGGGAACATGCTCGGCCGTGTCCCTCTCTCCCGACCATCCCTTTTCCCTCTAGGTGGAGTTATTACACATCAGATTTCAGCTTGTTCCGTGTCTGGATCTGCTCCTGCACCCGGGCAGACAATGAGATTCCTGCCACTGCCCGCATCCCCCTTGCCTGGGCTCTTCCTGGGAATTTAGTGACCTGAATTTAATGAAGCCCGGTGTATCTTGGAGAGCTTACACGCCTGGGATGGGAAAGGTGAGCTGTGCTTTGGGTGTGCCTGGGCAGGGGAAGGCAGGAATCACTCAAAATGAAAGGAAAAGAATTAATCAGGGATGTACCTTGGGCTCCACGGAGCATCTTCCCTTAATTCTGCTTTATGAGCTTCTCCTCCTTCCCCTTACCTTGTGCTGTAGTTGGAGGGGAGGGAAGGCAGGAAATCCTGCAGGGCTATTTCTGAACTCTGCTTAATTAACGGTGTCATTAAGGGGTGGGGATTGCCTTGGTCACAGAGGGCTTGAAGGACAATTCCTGAAGCGTAGGTTCCAGATGTTCTCATTCCCAGGCTGTGTGGATGTCTGGGACAATGCAGGGTTTGGCTGTGGGTGCTGGGGGAGTAGTTGGGGCTGGGCTCTGCCCTGGAGAATGTTCTAAGCTCTCACCTGGTGCTTTCCCTGGTGCTCATCTCGTTCCCTCACCAGTGACATTCCCTGTTCTCACTTCAGTTCTCTTCCAGGATCCGGCACTCCAGTGCTTTTGAAGATTTAACACCCCTCTTCCTCCCCCTCTTTTGTTTCCCAATCCATCTCAGACACGTTCCCATCCACTCCTCCTGTTTATGGGAAGAGGAAGAACATTCAGGAGATAAAGCAGCTGCCCAGAGCCATCATCTGGACCCTGCAGCTCACCCCGAGCTCCAGGAGAGTCCCCCGGATGTAAGGCCATTTCCTTGGAAGTGCCTGACATGGGATTTTCAGCTGTGAGATGATGTGAATCAGATGTGGTCCCTCGTGATGGGACACAGCATGGATGGGGGCTGGAGGTGGCCTTGGGGCAGCTCTGTCCCTCTGGAAGGACAGGCAGGGTTATTCCCAGGTTTGCCATTCCCAAGAGCTTTCCTTGCCCTCTTTGTCAGGGCAAAAGCAGAACACACAGAACTTTCCTCAGGGTCACTGCTGGAGAACAGCAGGTCTTTGCCCTCCTGTCTGAATCTGCTGAGAGCCGTCAGGGAAATCAGGAACATGATTTTGCAGAGTGTCCCAGATGAGGTCTGTCCATCCCTGCCTTCTGGGTGAGCAGGAATTAGATGGGCTTATTCAGCATCTCCTCTCCCACTGTGGGGAACTCAAGAGGGCCCAGGTGCTCTGAAAGGACAGAAGATGTGGAAAAGAGGGCAGGTTTAGAGGGATACTGGGAAGGAATTCTTCCCTATGAGGGTGGTGAGGTCCTGGCACAGGTTGCCCAGAGAAGCTGTGGCTGCCCCATCCCTAGAATTGTCCAAGGCCAGGTTGGATGGGGCTTGGAGTAACATGGTCTGGTGGAAGGTGTCCCTGCCCATGGCAGGGGGTGGGACTGGATGAACTTTGAGCTCCCTTCCAACCCAAACTGTCCTGGGATTCTATAAATGATTAAGGAATTACACACAAGGAACACCAGAGCCACTGTCATCCCATCCCATGAGCCCAGTTTGGAGGGCAGTGCTGTGGGATATGGTGCCTTTCCTTGGACAGCCTGGGATGAGGGAGATTCACTTTCTCTGGGAACCCCTGAAACTCCCCTGTGTTCCCTCATCCTTGTCCCTGAGCAGATCCAGTACCTCCCTCTGGAACATGTCCCCAGGCAAAGGATTAATGGTAGCAGCTCCCAGCCGGGATCACTGATGTGAGTCAGATTTCTAACCCAGATCCTCTCCCACTTCTCACCCCCTTTTCCAGGCAGGAAATCAAAGCCCAGCTCGCTCATTAGGGACTGACCAGCTGTTGACCACAAGCCAAAAATAAAACCCAGAGCAAATGCTTTATTTGCTCAAACTGCTGCATTCTCAAGAGGAGGGGGAGTGGGATTCCTCCAACCAGAGGCTTCCCACCAGCTGGGAATCTGCAACTTCACCAGGAGCCGACAGCACATGGGAGCTCTGTTACCAGGTCTTTGTCTCAACTAGGGATCAAAGGGAAAAATTCCTGAATTATTTAAGTGTCTGACAGGTTCCTTCGTATTTGAGCCACTGTGAAATATAGGATTGGCCTTTCCAAGCCACTGGGGATTTAGGAAAATATTTTGCTGCTCCTGTGTCAGGCTAAAAAAAGGAAAACTCCTGAAGTGCAGCTCCGCAGCCTCTTCCACGGGTCAGATCAAATGCTGATCAAAGCCTTGAGCTCCCTGGCAGCTTTTTTGGGATGAATTTGGCATGTTGGGTTTTTAAATTCTCCTTAAACTGGTGTTTCCCACCCTCTCCCTCCCCAGCCCACCGGCTGTTTCCAGCTCCCCGCGGGAGGGAGGTCCAGGTTTGCATCCCGAGGGTATCACAGCCCTGCAGCCTGGGAAAAGTCCCCGTTTGCGTTCTGGAGTTACAAAAACCAGACAGGGAGAGCTTAAAGGAAACCAAAGGAGCAGTTTCTGGGGGGCCACTCAAGCCTGAAATATGTGGAACAGCTGGAAGGATGCAGGGGATTTCAAAGGGAAGGCTGGGATGCCGATGGAAGCTGCATTGCACTGGTGCTTACGGGAAGGAGCTGCAAGCAGGGAGGAACTTAATTTTTTTAAAAAATCTATAACATCCAGCAGATATTTATGGATCTTTTATCTCTTTAGTGCCTCGGTGCCACAAATAAAAGCACACAGGGCTGTTGTGAGACTGAAAGCAAACAAATAAACCCCTCCGCTGGTTTCCAGAAAGGTTTTGAGCGAAGTCACTGATCAGTCAGAATTTAATTAGACCAATTAAACTGTTCCTGGTGCTGTCACTGAGGGCTTTGGATCTTCACCATCCCTTCCTGCATTGGAAATGAGGGTTAATACACCTGGGAAGTGCAGCCAGATTGAAGCAGGCAACTCACATCCGTGCGTGGTTCTGCCTCTGGGCTGCATCCTGGCTGGATGTGCCGACACCAGGTCTGGCTTCCCTGCATCCCCAGTCAATGCCAGGTAAATGCCTGGTGGTCCTGAGTGCCCTCAGAGGGTCCCTCTCCTGGGGCAGGGCAGGGTGAACGATGCTGCTGATCCCAGCCCTGGGTTGGACAAGGCAGGACAAGGTCAGACAAAGCTCTCGCATTCCCTCGTGGTGTGAACCAGGAATTTGGGAGACTGTGCCTTTGCACACAGCCAGCCCCACAGGGAGCTGGTGCCGGCCACCCAGGAGCCCCTTCCTGGCCTGAAGGCTGGAGAGACTCCAACGTGCTTCCTGAGACACTTAAGTGACTCATCCAGCTTGGTTTTACTACGGATTAATTTAAGGAGCTTTCTACAGCCCCTGCCCACCACAGGAAAGCCCCAGTGCCTGGGGTGGCCATCCCACAGCGGGAGGAACGGGAAGGCTTTTGGAAACCCACTTGTCCTGGTTGTAGGCAATAACCCTTCTGGAGTGGTTTGGGGTCAGTTTGTGTTATCACAGAATCACTGAATCATGGAATGGATCGGGTTGGAAGGGACCTTAAAGCTCATCTCATTCCACCCCCCTGCCATGGGCAGGGACACCTTCCACTAGACCAGGTTGCTCCATACCCTGTCCAACCTGGCCTTGAACACTTCCAGGGATGGAGGTTTATTGCCTCCCCAAACCAACAGCTTCCCCAAATGATCCTTTTCCATCAACTCCTGTCAGCGGGATGTCCTCATACCTGACTCTCACCCCCTGCTTGCTGCAGGGGACAGCCCTGTTTCGGACGTATTTCTTGTTTGCTTTGTTTTTAAAAGCTCCATGGGTCTGCAAACCTCTCCCCCATTCAAAACTCCACTGATCCCACTTTAAACCCGCTCCAGGCCTTGCCCATCTGCACGGTATTAAGTTACTTGGGGCTTAAAACTCCATAGGAATCCCAGCCGACCCCCCAGCCCATGCCGGGCTCACACAGGCATCCAAATCCCCTGCCTGCATTCAGAGAGGTGGGTTTTCACCCTGGCAGCCGGTTTGCATCAGTACCTTGACAAAAAGTGATTTATTTTTTCCTTTTCCGCCCTCAAGGGCCAGGAACGGGGTCAGCGAGTGAGGAACATCATCCCCCTGGCCTTGCTGCTTGCTGGAGAGCTGGAGTTGTCCCATTTTCAGGCATCCCTGCCACTTACTTTGGTTAAACTGGGGGTTGAGCAGCCCTGTTGGCTCTGAACCTCCCTCCCCATCATGTGCTTATCAAAATAGTTGGAAATAGTTCCTTTTTTTCCTAGCACGGCTGTGGATGCCAGACGGTCACAGCTCTTCCTCCCCGAGGCTGAGTCACTCCTGGGGGCTGTGGACACCCACGGGCTGGTTTCTCCCCGGGTTTGGTTTTGGTTTTAGTTTGGTTTACTCCAGAAGGGACAACCACGGCCAGATTTTGCTGCGTCAGCAGAATAAACCTCCGTGTCTCCCTCCGGCGCTGGAGCTGTGGGAACTGGGATTTGCAGTGCCTTGGCTTGCCAAGACCTTCCTCATCGTCTGCTTTTGGGTTTAATGCCCAAACACCCCCAAAACCACCTGGTCTGTGACATCTCTCCCCAGCATGTCACTGGAAACCCTCTGCGCCCACCACATCCTGGTTTTCCTTTGGATAAGGAGCATGGAACAAATGACCATAATCCCCCCTGTCCTCGCTGCCTGTCCCTGAGGTGGATCATCCATCCCTTCCCACGGGCTCCAGCTCTTACCACCTCCCTCCTTTGATCCATTTTCCAATGTGCTCCTTGTGCTTCCTCCTCACTCCCATGTCCATCCTCTGTGTGTGGTCATTCCCATCCGTGCTGTATTTTATCTGGTGTTTCTCCAGATTTTAGGAAAACCACATTATTTTTTTTTTAATCCCCCTACGCTGCAACAGCTCATTTTCACTTGCATCTTTTCGTCTGAGGAGAAAGGAAAGATCACCTCGAACCCCCTGAGACCCTCTCCCTGCTTCCCAGCCTCCTGCAAGCGCCCGCAGTGCTTCCCACCCGGCTTCTCCCAGCTCCCGTCCTCGGGGGGCCATGCAGGGAAGGGCTGCAGCCGACAGCAGCCTCTGCCTTCCCATGCCCCTTCCCGACCTCCTCTGCTTTTCTCCTCAGCGTTTCCTGCTTTATCACCTCCCCCAGCTGCAAATTCAGGCCCTGGAGCAGCGCAACGGAGCCCTGTGGGGTGGATGGACCGAGGGGACTTGGTCCACCTTCTCCCTCCATCTTTCCTATCCACATTACACCTCCCCATCCAACATAACCCCAGGCTGGGAAATGGGAGGTAAATATTTTTCAGCGAGCCATCCCCATCACACACCCAGCTCTGGAGCTATTCCAGAGTTATTGCCGTGCCTCACCCGCTCCCAAAATCATCCAGCCGAAATCCTGGCGCTGCCTGCCAGGAGTGCGCACGCCACCCCTCCATTCGTGTGCCTCTTGGGGCTGCCTGGACTTGCCAGCACCCAGAAGAACAAGCCCTCGGGTGTGGGGCAGGATTGGGAGCATCCCTGGCACATCCTGAGCACACCTCCGCCCCGGCTGCGGTCCCACTTGCGGCGGGAACAGGGAGTGGGAGGAATCGCCCGGCATCATCGGGCCACCCCTCCCCTTGGATTTTATGGAGCAAGGGTGCAGCCTTTCCTGGTGTGAAACTCAGAGCATCGGTGCAGAAATGGAGGAATGCATCATTTGTGCCAGGGGAGGTTTAGGTTGGGTATTGGGTAAAATTCCCTCATGGAAAGGGTGGTCAGGCACCGGCACAGCTGCCCAGGGCAGTGGTGGAGTCACCAGCCCTGGAGGGATATAAAAGATGTGTAGATGTGGCACTTGGGGACATTGTTTAATAGTGGGCTTGGCCTAGATCCTGTGATTCCCTGCATCCTTGGGCTGCTTCCTCACTGCCTGCCTGGCCAGGGCTTGGGATCTAAAGGAGACCTAAAGTGGGCTCCAAGAGATCTGGAGAGGGACTTTGGACAAGGGCCTGGAGGGATAGGACGAGAGGGAATGGTTTCCCACTGCCAGAGGGCAGGGGTAGATGGGATACTGTGAAGAAATTCCTGACTGTGAGGGTGGTGAGGCCCTGGCACAGGTTTCCCAGAGAAGCTGTGGCTGCCCCTGGAAGTGTTCAAGGCCAGGTTGGACAGGGCTTGGAGAAACCTGGGATAGTGAAAGGTGTCCCTGCCCATGGCAGGGGTTAGAACAAGATGATCTTTAAGATCCCTTCCACCTCAAACCATTCCATAATTCTACGACTTGTTGGTCCCTTCCAACTCAGCATATTCTGTGACTCTGTGACTTCTTCTGCTTTTTGGTGGCATTTGTTTCGGCAAGCTCAGGATAGAGCAGTGTGAGGGAGCACAGGGCTGGCACAGGATGGATCTATCCTATGGGAGTTACTTATGGTGCTTCCACAGCTCAGTTAAACCACAAAAACCAGGAGTGGCAGCCAAATATTAAATAAAAGATTTGACTTTTATTTAAAATAAAATGCATTTTTACATAGTCTTGAAACCACAGAGTACTCGAACACAACACTGGTTACTCCTCGGCATTGGGTGGGGGACGGGATTCTCCTCATTGGCATTATTTTGGGAATGGCTTAATGAACCTGGCCCCAGGTTATCAGTTATTGAGGGTGTTGTGGCACAGCTCTGAAATCCCCTTTAACTTAAGGTAAAAATTAACTGAAATTCTATTTTTTGGGTTTTTTTTTTGGTTTTTTTTGTTTTTTTTTTTTATTCCTTGGTTTCTCCCCATACCCCTTCCAGACATCCTATAGGTACTGCTGATACACAGGATCTATGCAATATTCTAGCTGGCTTGTGAGACTAGTTAACAAAACTGTACAATTTTATAAAATTTGTGTTTTTTACATTAGTTACACAAAACCTTTACTTCATAGACCTTTTACTTCATATCGTAATGAAAAACTTTGCATATCAGAGGCAGAACAGTGACTATGCTGGTGAATACTAAAAGTGTCATAATACAATATGGTGTACAAATAAAATTAAAAAAAAAAAAAGGACAATATAAATGATTATCAAAAGGCAAGTTAAACAAACAAAACCAAGCTATAACAGACTAACAGAAGATCATCTTCAAGGCCACACAAAAGTCACATCAGGCACCTGTCGCAGTCCTGGTGTGTGTAGTGTGAGAGGAGAGATGGCAGCTCTGTTTAGGAATTAAAAACTTCCAAAAAGGACAAATGTACAGAATAAAAAAAAAAAAAAAAAAAAAAAAAGGAAATAAAACACTCATGCATTAAACATGAAAAATAGACTTCATATAGGTTAAGCCCCTGGATGGCTTTACAAGAAGATGGCTTAGAGTTCTCTTCCAAAATTGGCTGTTTTAAGTCAGTTAAACCTTATCCTGATCTGCCCACCGAAATCTGGATCCACGACCCAGACATGGTCTTGTTATAGCGAATTAACAGAAGTGCTCATTAGTGCACACAGATTAACTGGTCTGGTAATGCAAAAAAAAAAAAAAAAAAAAAAAAAATTTCCAATGATAAAAAGAAAAAAAAAAAAAAGATACATTTCAAGCTTACTTTATTAAGCAGCATTATCTCAAAGAAGAACAGCTTTGGAAAGTTAAATATTAATTAATATGGCCATGGGGGTTTTCCTCCGGGTGCGGGGCGGGCGGGGCTCACACCCAGCCACTGGTCAGTTTGTAGAACATCTCTTCGTCTAAGCTCTCGTTCTGGTCCTTGGCCCGTGTGGACAAGAAGATGTACCCGCCGATGAACTCGTGCACCACTTTGCAATCCACCTCCGTGCAGATGAAGGACACCCGGACGTCGTCCGCGAACTCCACCGTCACCTGGAGCGCGAGAGCACAGCGTCAGCCCCCCCGGCCTTCCCAAGGGAACTGCTGCCTCCTTTCTCCCTGATTTTTCTGTCTACTCAGGTGCTTTTTCCCAATGCCTAAGTAAAATCCAGCGATGTCAATGCTGGAGTGGGTCCAGAGGAGGCCACAGAGAAGCTCCTGGAGCCCCTCTGCTCTGGAGCCAGGCTGGGAGAGCTGGGGGGGTTCACCTGGAGAAGGGAAGGCTCCAGGGAGACCTGAGAGCCCTAAAGGGGCTCCAGGAGAGCTGGAGAGGGACTGGGGACAAGGGCTTAGAGTGTAAGGACAAGGGGGGAATGGCTTCCCATTGCCAGAGGGCAGGGTTAGATGGGATATCGGGAAGAAGTTTTTGGCTGGGAGGGTGGGGAGGCCCTGGCACAGGTTGCCCAGAAAAGCTGTGGCTGTCCCTGGATCCCTGGAAGTGTTTCAGGCCAGGTTGGATGGTGCTTGGAGCAACCTGGGCTAGTGGAAGGTGTCCCTGCCCATGGCAGGGGGTGGAACTGCATGATCTTTAAGCTCCTTCCAACCCAAACCATTCCATAATTCTGTGATTCTATAAATGACGATTTGGCCTCAACGATCATTATGGGTTCCTTCCACCTTTACACATCCTATAACTAACTCTATGATGACTGTTAGTCAAATATTTAGATACAGAAATACCTTTTATTGCCTTTTTTATTATTTGTATTAATTTTCTATTTATTTGCCTCTTCATTTATTTATTTAAATTACCATTACACCTTCTATTCCCCCATGACTCAGAAACAATCCCCCAGCATGTTTCCACCTCTCCGTGGTGGGCACGTGGCCAGATTTTCTTTACTTCCAGAGAAACAGAGACCAGGCACAGACCCATTGAAGTCTGGGCTTTCTTTCCAGTTTTCCCTGGTTTTCTAAGTTGAATTTTTGCCTGAGAAATACTTTATGGGGGCTGGGGGAGCTCGTTTTGGAGGCACTGAACAGACCAACCATTTATTGATGCTCCTTCTCTTTTTGTCCCCCCATCACTGACAGCTCTGTGGGAGGGAGGGGGATTCCCAGCAGAGTATCCAAGCTGAATAATTGGGATATTGGGGCTTGCAACTGGGTCAAAACAATGACTCTGAGGCAGAGGGAAGCTGAATAATTTTTCCAACAACTCTTAACGAGCCACAAACCGCAGGACAACAGCCCTCATGTATCCCTGGCAATTTTAATTAGGTGTGCTGCCAAAAAGGAGACCAAAAATTTGTTCATCCAAACGTAACAGTGAGGGAAAAGCCCATCTCAGAGCCTGGGGAAGTGTCTACTCTTTCTTTTCACTACTTACTTAAATGAAAGCCTGAGCTGTACAGCACATAAAAGGAACTTGGGTATGGATAAGGCCCTGTATATTTATGTTACTGGTTAGGATGAAGCCTAAGCATCAATGCTGAGGTTTGATTTTACTTAACTGCCTTGGAATGGGTGTTCAGAGACCAGTGAAAATTATTCCTGGCTGCAGTAGAGAAAGATTCATGGTTTTTTTCTTTATTTTAAGGGTCACACTCTACTCCACCAGCAGCTGGGACAAGCTCTGCTTGATCTCCAAGGAGGGTGGAAGAGGAGGGAGGAAAAACTGTATTACATCAATATAGTAACATCCACACCTGGAGCAATGTGTCCAGCTCAAGAAAGACATGGAGCTGCTGGAGCAAGTCCAGAGGAGGTCATGGAGATGTTCCGAGGGCTGGAGCCCCTCTGCTCTGGAGACAGGCTGGGAGAGCTGGGGGTGTTCAGCCTGGAGAAGAGAAGGCTCCAGGGAGACCTGAGAGCCCCTTCCAGTACTTAAAAGAGCTCCAAGAGAGCTGGAGAGGGACTTTGGACATGAGCATGAAGTGACAGGACAAGGGGGAATGGCTTCCCACTGACAGAGGGCAGGGTTAGATGGGATATTGGGAAGAAATTCCTGACTTCTCAGGTTGCCCAGAGAAGCTGTGGCAGCCCCTGGATCCTTGGAAGTGTTGATGGACAGGTTGGATGGGGCTTGGAGCAACCTGGGCTAGTGGAAGGTGTCCCTGCCCACGGCAGGTGGAACTACAAGATCCCAAACCATTTTGAGATCCTTTCCAGATCCCTTCCAACCCAAACTATTCTGGGATTCCATGATCCTAGGAGTGGCGCCTGTCTCAGGGACAGGAGCCAGGGAAGAGGACAGGTTGTAAAACGCCATCTCACCATTTTGATCTCCCAGTTCACGTTCCACTGCTTCATGTTGCTGAAGCGCCAGGTCTTGACGGCGTCTCCCGTGCTGGCGTCCATCCGGATCAGCCGGTTGTAGGCGATGCCGATCAGCTCATCCTTCTTCCCACCCTGGAACCTGTGACAGGGTGAGGGATTAATAAAACTGAGCCTGTGATAAACGCAAATTCAGCGGCTGAGTTAACTTGTAAAATAATTCATATAAGTCGATGCCATCAATGCTTTTAATTTCAGTTCCAGCGCAACTTCCCCAGCTGAGGATGAGCACAAGGGTGTCCCTGCCCGTGGCAGGGGGTTGGAACGAGATGATCTGCAAGGTCCCTTCCAACCCAACCCCTTCCATGATGATTCGGTGATTTTTAACACACCCCACACATTTATTAAGGAAAATTCCTCCTGCCCAGCCCAGCGGCCCCACCGACCTTGCGTTGAAGTGCGTGATGCCGAACTCCGGCAGCGACTGCCAGGCTTGGATAAACCGCATCTTGGCCTCGATGAGGCTCATCTGGGCCACGTTCTGGTGGGCTTCCAGGATGCGTGCCGTGATCTGCGGGCGGCCAACACACCGGATTTAGGGAAGGGGGGCACCTCGGCGGCACCTCACGCGAACGGGAATGGCTCGGGAGCCGCCACGAATCCGAACGTGGATAATCAACGATTTCTACCCCAAGGTCTTATTTCAGCCCCGACTGCTCAGAGCCTGCGACCACGGCGGCTAAACGTGGAGCTTCCCATCTCCAGACATATCAAAGCAAATATAGATCTGGGCTGTCTGGAGGCAAAAGAGCCGCTCGGGCTCTCAGGGAATTTTAAGGCGCAGGATGCGAGCGAACAACAACAAGGCAAATTTGTGGTGTAGGGTTTCCAGTTTCGCAGCATAAGTCACTGGGGACCACTATAAAAAAAACCAAGCAGGGCCCAGGTTTCTCAGGGAGGGTGTAGGTTTTGTTAGTGTTTTCACCGCTGCTCTCTAAACCAGAGGGGTTCTAGATTATTTTTTAAGTTTTATTTTAAACGTATCTTAATTTTATTGTTGCTGTCACTTACCAAGTCTCTTACATAGCCTGGCTGTAGATGGCAAGGCGAAATGGAAAACAAAAAAAAAAAGGAAAAGGAGGCAGAAAGAAAAAAAAGCAATCAGAAATATGGCAACAAAGCAAAGAAAAAGTGTAAATTAACTGCAAACCAAAGTTCAAGCCAAAAAAAAAAAAACAACAAACCAAAACACATGCACAATTCCTTAGGTGGAAAAGCAGCCAAAGTGAATGTGAGCAGGGACAAGCGAGCAGAGATCTGCCGCTCGTGCTGGCCCTGCTGGAGCACTGGTGTGATCCCAGCTGGGTCCTGGCATTGGTTTTGGTCCTGAGATGGTTTTTGTTGGATCTCAGGAAAAGGTTCTTCCCCCAGAGGATGGTGGGGCAATGAACAGGATCCCCAGGGCAGTGGTCATGGCCCCAAGGCTGACAGAGCTCAAGGAGGGTTTGGACAACGCTCTCAGGGACAGGGTGGGATTGTTGGGGTGTCCTGTGCAGGGCCAGGAGAGGGACTGGATGATCCTTGTGGGTCCCTTCCAACTCAGGGGATTCTGTGATTCTATGGACAAGCTGATGGATGAACAAACTCCAGGCTGCTCACTGACAGAGGAAGCTCAAGAGCTCACTATGAGCTCAAAAGTTCCTTTTATTTGGGATATGCAGAGAAATGATGGGGATGCTGCCCAGGGGAACAAGCAGATGTAGGATAACATCAGCTGGGCTTCCCAGGGATGTGTCTGCCCTTGCTGGCTCTGACACCAAACCCCAGAAAGGCACCTGAGAGCTGTGAAAATGCTTATTTTGGGTTGTTTTTTGTTTATTTGCATTTAGGATTCGGTGCTTCCCGACCCAGCCTGCCAATCCTACGCTGCCGCACGGGCACATGGAGACAAACATCACCAAGTGAGTTTGGGGCTGGAGAGGACCAGGAGCTTCTAGTAAACCCTCCAGCAAGGCCCGCTGCCAATTCCCATTCCAGCACTGTTTGCGGGCTGCACGACCTCCTCCTTTTCCTTCTCCTCCTCCTCCTCCTCCTCTTTCCCTGTACTGGGGCCACGGAGGGACCCTTGCGGTCAAATTCCTTGCATTCCCACAGCCTCCATCCCTCATTCCTCCCAACAAACATCCTCTGCTGCTCCAAGCTTTGCCTCTGGCCACGAGGAAAATCCTAAATCCGCCGTTTAGCTGATGCCTATGAGGGACCAGCATTGGCATCGTGGCCGCTGTTCCAGCTGGGATCAGGACGAGGGCTCGTGCCCATCCCCATGATCCCATGGATTTTATTTTTATAACCAGGATACCTGCACAGTAAGCAAGTTTTTCAAGCTAATATTTTTCCAGGTGCCTCCGTTTTACCGGAAACCCAGAAAGTATCACATATATGTTAAAACAGTATATTTATGCAGCCTCTCCTCCATCCAAGTGGATATAAAGGCTTATTCAGAAGAATAATAAGGGCTATATAAAATATAACTCCACTGCCAGGAAATCACCGTGCTGTGCCAATAAAAAGTTACATTTTTCCTGCTTCTCTGACTTGCAGCCTTCTTCTGGGCTCGGAGAAATCGCATCCAGCCAGAGGCTGAAGGATTTAAGTCACCAGAAGGCCACAGAGCAATGCTTTACTTATTTTTTGCTGCTGTTCTGACATATAATGTCTTTCAGAGAGTCAGGCATTGATTTCCAGCGTGGAACAGTTCAGCCCTGTCCTGCAGGGATGGGATGGAGCGTGGAGTTCAAGCTCGAGTCACAGCAACTCAAAAATGAAGCAATGTTTCAAGGACTGGCATTTGGAAGCAGTGGAAAAGCAAAGAGAGAAAATATGCAAACTGCATTTCAGCCAAGTGTGGATAAAGCACTGCAAGCAACTGCAACTCCGCTGATCCTGGGGATTTCTCCATGGATTCTGTGCGGGGGAATGGGGTTTTAATCCCAGCACCGGGGATTGAGTCCAGCTGTGGGGAGAGATGGGGCAGCTGACCCCATCGCTCCACCATCACTCATCAGCAGGGGCCGAACCATTCCCAAAATTCATTTAAAATAAATGTAACCCAATTTTAAACGTATTTACAATTAAAGACTCCCCGCTGCCCGGGCTGTGCACGTGCACATCACACAACACCCGGCACGGTTCAGGTGGTGGGTGCCATCCCCAGGTGCTGCATCCAAACCACACCCTTCGGGTCAGTCACATCTCATTTTAGCAACCACGTGCACCCCACGAAAGTGAAGACATCCGAAAAACACGTCGTGTTAGACACCAGCTACTGCCAAAACACGTGCCCGGTCAGCCCAGACCACACCAACACCAAAGCCAACGCCAACGCCAACGCCAACACCGCGCTGGGCCAGCACGTACCTGCTTGTTCTTGTACTTCTTCAGGTAGCGAGGGGAGACCAGGCACTCGGGGTTGATGTCGGTGTTGATCTGCTCGGGGATCAGCTGCGGGTCCGGGTTCAAATGCTGCATTTTCAGGAAGGACAGGATGTTCTGCACTTCCATGCCGTAGGAGCTGTCGGCCATGGTCTTGCCCTTGGAGGCCAGGCGGCAGGCGGCCATCCAGCTGGCGTACTGCGTCTCCTGCCCCCCCAAAAACAGAGACCCGCGCCCGTCAGAGCCGTGGGGCGACCACCAGACCCCCCAGATAAAACTCCAGGGAGCCTCCATTCCAATTCCAGCCCCCCAGAAGACTCAAACGTGCACCAGGACAGCCAGAAATCCAGCCAATGCGTAGGCTAAAACCACAGGACAAAGCCAAGGAAGAGCAGGGAATGATTTTCTGCTCCGCGCTCACAGGTGAGGGAGTTGGAATGTGTTTGGAATGCTGAGGTCAGACACAGGCGAGGGCATTTTCTACCTGTTTTTTACTTAACAGCACCTCAGCATGAGCTGATGGTGGGGAAAGGGTGAAGAGGTGGCCAAGTCCAAGTGATACTTACGGTGTCGCAGCGCAGCCAAATTTCATTCATCCCCTCTGCCACCGGAATCAGGAGTTTGATGTTAAACTTCTGACCAGAGATGTTCACATCAGGGGTAACTTCACATCCTGCAATGAGGGAGCCAGTGTTTAACGGGGGGGGGGGGGGGGGGGGAGGAACTATGCTTGAAAAAGAGGGGGGAAAAGCAAAAACAGGGAAAGAAAAGGCAAAGTTCTCCAAGTAGAGGGTCTCAGTGCTGCCAAATGTTTGTACCACATCTTCCAGGGGATGAACACTCCACACAGCAGGGACAAAACCCATTGTCAGATGTCTCTTTTTCCAAGTGACGGGAAAATTGCGGGGGGAAAAGCAAGACTTGATTTGAAAGAAACAAAACTGAAGCTGACATATGCCTATAGAATTAACCTTGTGGATCCTGCCTGGCCTTGTGAGTGGATCCCATGGCTGGCAAATACCCCAAAATTTTCCTAGAATATGCTGAGTTGCAAGGGACTCACAAGGAT